GCCAGCGGGGGACAGTGGAGCCCCGTTTCCATTCTGTATTTGCTTTAAGAGCAAAGCGGTGAGGATGGAGGCCACTCCACATAGCACCATCTCCAGGGCTGGGAGAGGGGTGGGGCCAGGTGCCTTCCGTCTCCCTCCCTCTCCTCACTGGCCCCGCTGGGTTGTGCCTGTCCCACTTGTCCCCAAAAGAAGAGGGCAGAAAGCATGGAGGGCGCATTTCCTCCTGCTTGCTGCTCACTTGCCTGGAGGAAGCAGCTGAATGGGCAGGAAGGAGAAGGAGGAACTGGGCCAAGGCCTCTGAGGGTCGATGAGGAGCTGTGCATGGGTTGTAGCATAAGCCTTGGTGAGGTCGGCTCTGGTACTGGCCCCAGTTTCCCCGAACTCCATCTGACCTGTAGTTTGGGCCCAGAATACGTGCAGGTGCATAACTGGTCAAACTCCCAGTTCACTGTGGTATACTGGGATAGAGCTAGACTGCAAAAACTGGGGTTCCAATCTCAGCCATGAAGCCCCCCACTGAATCTAGGCATGGCCTCACAGCCTAATCTGCTTCAGGGTGTTAAGGGGGAAATGGGCCTGATCCAATATGTGCCAGCTTAAGGTTCCTGGAAGAACATCAAAAAGGAATTAGGGCATTCAAAACGTAATCCTACTCACAAGTAAGCCCCAAGAACTCAATGGGACTTCTTTCCCAGGTAAGTGTGGATGGGACTGCAACCTTAATGACACACTTCCATTTCCCCATTTACCTCTGTGAGTCAAAGTTTCTTCCTAGGCTATCCATTCTTCCTAGGCTATCCAAAGTTTCTTCCTAGGCTATCCATTCTTCCCACAAATCACTGGGAAGATCACTTGTCTCCTGATCTATTTTAATAGTGCCACCCCAATCCAATTTAATGGTTGAAGTGGAGCATGGCTTTTGAACAAGGGCGTTGCTGTTCCACCCTGATTGGCCGGGGTGCTTGTTTAATAGTTTATATATAGGTATTTTGCCGCTGTGTCAAAATCGCTTGTAGGAGGCAAAGGCGTACTTCTGTTAGAATTTCACATGTTTCCGCACAGGGAGAGAACTCCATTGGTGTGGATGCCCAACAGTAAGCTCTGAAAGGCAGGAAATGTCATTTTGATGTTCCACACAAATTTTCCAATACTTTCCAAACAACCCTACCCACCTCATTTATATTTTGCAAAATGCCTTCCAGATGTTCAATAACTAGTAATTTATTTACACAATTGCTGGCAAGCCATCCCAATAATTTATTTTTAAAAGGGAAATGGTATACAACAACTCTTAACTTGTGATTTATTGTGGGTTGAGAAGAGGTTGAGAGTGGGCCCGTGACAAGATGATTCATCCTCGACATTTAATCAAATCTCTGAGCCTGTGCCGACATGGCCCCCAAATCTAGCCCTGCAGGGAGTGTAGAATTCCACTGAAATAAGTGGGTTAAGTTCACAAAATCCTGCAGAGGATTGTGGATGGCGTATTTCGTCACCGTCTATCTCCTCCCCTTCCGCCCCCTGCCACTTCTCCGTGTGCTTGTTTCATCCTTGTTTCATTTGATAAAGGAAACTCCACGGGAGGGGCATTTGGCCAACGGGGATCCTCTCCCCATCCCTCCATGCATTTTTATAGCCTTCCAAACTTGCCACAGTGCAAAGGAAAACCCCTGTGTGGTCGGGAAAGCGTCCAGGTTGCTGTCCTCACCACCATCCCTGCGTCTGCAACTTTTGGAGCCTTCCTGAGGCTTCTTCGCACAGCACCGCACTAGCAGTGGATGCTTCGACCGATGGGACCATCTCTCCTCCCTCTAGTTCAGGGACATCTCACCATTCAGTAGCCAAGGAGATTAATGCAGCCGGAGGTCCTTGCTGCAGGAACCCAGGATGAAAGAAAAGCCATCCCTGGCAGCTGCATCAAACGGCTGCCTAAGGATGGTCTTTGTTACTTCCAGAGTTGCTCTCCTGTCCTGCAGGTGGGCTTCCTGTGGACAGCAGGTTGGCCTCCATGGACCAAAGGCTGGACAAGAGGAACCCTCCGTCTGATCCCTCAGGGCTCGTCTTAGCTTCTCGTGTTTCACTATTTCAAGCACATGTCTGGAAACACGCGACTCAGCCTGCAGCATTGAATTCCCATTATTTTTGGTGTATTCTTTGCCAATGCTGGAACACAATTTAGCTTTGTGGGGTATTTTTCACCCTTTCTGAGAATGGAAAGAAAGGAAGTCTTGATGTGCAATATACAGGGCATTACGTCATGGTGAGCTGACACAGAGATTTACATCTTAACCTAGCAGGGGTTTCTTGAACTGGCAAATCAACCCATATGGAAGGATCTCTTGGAAAAAATTATTTAATGCTTTCATTCTGCCAAAACCCACAAAGACTTGTAGTGCAGCACTTCCAGTTTGCCTCTTAAATGATCTAACAATAACCAGAGGATTAGCCACCAGGCTGCAAATCATTATAACCAGATGGCTGCAACCTTACCTACTGTCTGGTCAACAATGCCACCTACTGTGTATTAGCAGAACAACAGTGTTCCTGGACAAGGCTGTGAAGATCGCCTATTTCACTATGACCGGCAGCAATTTGATGTGAAATGCATATTCCATTCCATTGCATTGCATTATTTGCTTTTGTCGGAGGGAAATAACTAGCTTTTCTCAGCCCAAAGACCTCATTTTGCTAAGCAGCCATTTTATTCCTGTAGCCGTACAAGCAGATCAGCTCCTGCCAACTTTTGAAGGACCTTCTCATTATTTTGAGGAAAGGGAACAACTCCATGAACATCAAGGGATAATCAAGCAACCCATTCATTTTATGTGCCTTTCTGGCTGACTGCTCCTTTAATGATCTCCACTGATGAATTGTGTGCAACTGATGCACTGCATCATTTCATTGTCTTTATTGCACTTTTGGTGTTGTTAATGTGGAAGGCGATGGGATAGACATTTTCTAAAACCCAAAACAAACAAACAAACAGACCATTCTCTTTAATGTAGTGTTGCTACCCATCCACTGAAGCTTGGCTTAGGCCTGCTCCATCAAGTAAGCAAGGTGTTACAGAAGATGCAGTAGTCATTGTGTTTGTTCAGAAGCAATGACCAATGAGAACCAATGAGGACTGACCCTTGTTAAGTCCTTCCTTCCTTCCTTCCTTCCTTCCTTCCTTCCTTCCTTCCTTCCTTCCACACTCATTCCCATTTTAAAGATGGATAGCAGATGCTATGGGAGACTCATAGAGGCAGGAGGTTTATGGCTGGACTCAGATGACAGCTGGGCTTCTACTAATTCCAAGTCCAGATTCTCTCTAACCACATGGCACTGAGCCTTAACTCAGGGACTGTACTGGGACTTTGCCATGCAACTCTATTTATGCAGGAAACAGAGGATGCAGGAAACAGTCCTGCTTTATTTTACATGTCACACATTGCTTACTTGGTAATGGGAAGGATATAAATTTCTGACCTTATTTTTAACACTGCTAGTATTGTAAACCAAAATGCACAAGCATACATAGATTTGAAGGAGTACTTTAGTGTTCATCCTACTTAAATAAAAGAGTTTTCTGAACTATCATCATTCTTCAGTGTGTTTTTTTTTTACTCTTTTCAATACTAATTCAATAGATTTTAATTAATGCTTTAAGAACAGTCACATTTGATGTATTTCTTTCACTTTGTCCTTTACATGGGTTTCTTTTGTTTCTGAGAAAATAAAATATCAATCTGGGTTTGTAGTTTGCTCTTTTTTAAGTAGCAACCTACATCTCATAGAAATAACTGCAATTAAACCTGGAAAAGTCAAGATGATTGGCTGCGAGGGCCATAGCCTTTCCCACAAATTCCTATTCGTGCACATGATTGCTGGCATGATCACAGCACTGGCTGAATGCAGGAAAGATTCACGTGCATGGCCCGCCTCCCATGCGTGTGCACGCGCATGTATTGCCACAGTCATGTTTCCGTGTATTCCTGATGTGGGAACAAAATATCACAGGGACAAATTTCCCATCTGATTATTGATGCATTATCCATCAGCAACTGCATGCAGGAAGCTCTGCTGCTGTGATGGCCACTGTGACCATTTTGTCGAATGATGGCCATGAACAGGTAAACAAAGGTGGCCGAGAAGCAAACCTTCAGCATCCTTCTGCTGCAGCTCAGCTGCAAGCTTACAGTGTAGCATCCCTTTGAGTAGACTTTGAAAGCACAGTGGTGTATACAGATAATCAGTGGACATAAGTGGAATGCTGGGTGGGTACCATTTTAATGCAAGGAATATGTGTCAACATATTTAAGCCCGAACACCCTGTTTTTCGTAAAATTAATCTGACAGCCGGAGGGTCTGGATTCCTTTTGTGCATGGACCTAACTTCAAATAGCTCGGCCTCCCACGCTAGATGCCCACTGGACCAGCAAGCTCCCTACAAGGTTGCCAGCAGCGCTTGGAGCTGACCTGTTGCCTGCAGGCTAACTGCCCTTTGTGCTCCTCCTCTTTGCAGCTCCTCCAAGTTTGCTCCAACGCTCTGGAGCAGAATCAGGGGACAGGCAAGGGGACAAGAGAGCGGCTCTGTCAAAGATGGATTCCCCACGGGCTTCTTGTGCATGTCTGTCTCCCACCTTGCCTAGTTGCATTCTGCCAAAACTGCCGCAGTCTTCTCTTTAGCACTGATCTTCCTGAAAATGTTAACCAAGGCATGCCATGTGAAACGTGATTTAAACTTTTTGAGCAACAGCAACAACAACAACAACACTGTATCCCCTCCTCTGTTACTAAAAACCTGACCTCTGATGACCGCACTGGCTTTTGTAGTAGATCATGAAATCAGACTGTTAAACTTTACCATTGTTAGAAATGTGTACACACATAAGTATATATCTTACAAGTTGCATGAAAAAGCTGTTCAATAAGTCCATCGATTTGATTGTACCGAAGTTCACCAAACAACTCACCTTGTGCCTGTATTTCTCCCCCTGCCCGCCATTTTCCCCTAGCTGTCTTAGGAGAATGCACCCACCTCGGCCAGGTGTATGCTGACAGAGATGTGTGGAAACCAGAACCGTGCCAAATCTGTGTGTGCGACCAAGGAGCTGTTCTTTGTGATGACATCATCTGCGACGACCAGGAGTTAGACTGCCCCAATCCAGAGATTCCATTTGGAGAATGCTGCCCAGTCTGTCCGCAGCCAACACCGCCACCTGTAAGTGCTACTTTAAACTTGCCGCGTCCCGGGGTGCAACCTGTATCCAGTGCCAGTGCCCAGAGTTAAACTGGCTTAGATTTTATTGGTTACAAAGGGGTGTAGTAGCCCAAATACAACTAGTGAGGGGGATAACCACATTTAGGACATGATAAACACTCCTTTGCTATATATTTGAAATAATTAGGGACTGATTAGGATCAATGATACAAAGGGGCAAAGGAGAGAAAAATGATCTAAAGCGGTGGTGTGTGTGGGGGAAATCTTTTACGGACTAGATGGATCGTTGGTCTGATTCATCATGAATTTTCTTATGTTCCTATGAGGGCTCCATTCTGTTAGAAATGGCCACATGTTGGCAATGCACACAGCAGAGGCTAGAAGTGGATGGAGCCACCATTAACCCTGCTGGTCGCTATCACCACCACTAGCTCACTCTCTCTCTGACTGGGTTCACCGGATTACTGCAACCCACTGTCATTTATTTAAGCCACAGTGATTTGCAGCTCATGGTGGTAGCCATTCTGAATATTCCGACCTTGAGGGAAGAAGCATTGTCATGGTCTTCCATGTGACCCTAACAGGGCTTGTGACAGGGCTTGTTGGAGGGGGAAACAATTCTCAATCAACCCTTCAGCCAACCAAGGGTTATTTGAGGGTTGTTTCCCCCTCCACCAACTCTACTGCCCCATGTTGAAATGTTGCAGCAGTCACAAGCCCCTTGAAGATGGGCATGGAATATTCAAAATGGCCAGTGGCACATGGCACAGTGGGATTCAGTGATCATGTGACCCAGCCTTCTCCCATGCCCTCCTGTTCTCCCTCTGTCATCCTGCTCTTTCTCTCTCAATCTCTTCCTCTTCCTCCCAGCTTGCTGGGCTAGGAACAACTCCCACTTGCCAGCATCCTGACGGTCTTTCAGAGGGCTTGTGAAAGTTGACTGAGGGGCACGGATTGCACAAGGCTTCCCTGTAACCTCTCCCGGTACATAAGTACTCGAGCAGGCTGTTTCACGGAGGTCCTGGAAAGTTCATTTCCTCCCTTGTTACATTCAACCAGGATCTATGACTTCCTAGGCTGATAAAGGGTTAGGCTGTGAATTGCCAGGATATACTGCCAAAGATTGCTTTCCAGCCAAATGTCAACAGGAAAGTCTCCGAGCAATCCCAAAAGAAAATCTGTTCTTAATAGAAATGGAAAGGTGCCTCAATCTACGGAGTCAAGCTCAGCCTGTTATTCACTTGAGTGCAAAGGAAGCCTGGCAAGTCTCGTCGGGATCTGCTCATGCCAAAAAACTTGGCTCCAGAGAACCCGAGCCCTGTCCCGGGAGAGAGCCCTCTTTGTCCACCACCGACGTTGCCAAGTGTGAATTTCAGCTGGAACATGCCCATGCTGCGTGGATCCTTGGAACGTACCCCATATGTTAAGCACTTGGTCGCTAGCGGAAAATGTCCTGCTAAAACCCAGATTTGGATCAAGATGGAAACTTTCATAAAATGGAGGCTTCTCCATTTTATGACTGCCTACAAATGCTGGTGATCCCAAATGTGAAATTTGTTTACGAAGTATTGGAATCTTTTTTACTTGCCTAAGGCATTCTTTTCATTCCCCCCTGATATTTTAATAAATCTATGATAATTTGTGTTACCACAATTTAAGTGCTTAAAGCTACAGTCCTAGGGAAGGTGAACATATTTTTTTTGCACCCTTTTTCCTGCCAGGAACTTGGGCACTTATTTAGGAGTACAACCTACAGAATGCAAAGGGGCTTACTTCTGAGTAATCATCCATAGGATGAGAGTGCATTAAGAGCAAGGGTGTGCAGAGTCTGGCCCTTCAGAAGTTTTTGCCTACAACTCCAATCAGCCCCAGCCAGCATACCAGTGGTGAGGAATGATGAGAGTTGAAGGCCACAAAATGCCCACCCTGAGGTAAATTATTCTTCAAACAATGGTGGAGGGCACCTAAATTGCTAACCATCATTGCAATGAGAGCCACAAGGTATGCTTTAGAGCTCAAGTCCCAGCATTCCTGAACGCTGGCCCAGCTGACTGGGGCTGCTGGGAGTTGAAGACCAAAATATCTGGCGATATAGCAATGAGGCACCTTTGACTTTAATGAGCTTTGGCAGAGGAAGAGCTCTGCAAGAATTCTTGCAGCTGGAGCCGCTTGGTTTTCCCACATGGCCCCCAGCATAGCATCAGAGCGGGGCATTGTGGGAATTCAAGTGGCCATTCCCAGCTACCTGCCCCAGCCATCCGTGGCGGGCCCCATGGGAGCCCACGCAGCAGCCCAAATATGCTGTGTGCTGAGGCCAAGCTCCAGAGACAACACACACAAAAGCTGCAGTGGTGGAGCTGACAGCAGTTCCATGAAGCCTCTGGTTCAGAGTTATGATCAAGATGAAAGGCTTGGCCAGTGTAGGTGCCCCTCGCTTGCTTGCCGGGATGGAGGAAGGGATGCTGCAGCAGCAGCCAGTTGAAGCTCTCAGCTGAGTCTGTGGGCATGCATACGACCTCTGGACATGCACCGGCTTAATCTTCTCCCCTGTGAAGCAGAACAGGGCTTGGGTGTGTAGGGTTTGCACACATGTGTGATCCATGCCACACAGATTCATAGCGGGGCTGGCCACTGCGACTCTGCTCCCCTCTGAAGTCACACTCCATCTTCCCCTCCCATTTGCATGGGGCACACAATGTCCTCTCCAGTCATTCCTCCATACCACCGTGAATTGTCACCTTTGGCCCCCTCTTCCCGGGCTTCTCTGTTGCTGGTTCTGCAGCTCACCACATGCTGGGGGCAAAACGGCTTCCGTATGGCACCAGCTCCCTTCATGAGGCCTCCCGTGTAAGGTAGGCCCCTTCTTTCCCAGGGCTCTACGTCACTGGGGGAGCCCACATGAGGCAAGAAGGACGTGAAGTAGGGCCCGACACTCATGTCCACGTGTTGCTCACACAGTCCACAGCACGTGGTGGCCAAGGGCTGGTTCCAGGCATAAGGAACTTCAACTGGGTTGGGGCTCAGCTGTTGGAAAGTGGAGCCGCATTCGTAGTTGCTTTGTGTAAACACGGCAAAGAGCAACATACCAAAGCACCAGTTCTCCGCCCGCAGATGGTCTGGCTTGCAGAACCTTTGAGGCAGGCCAGGCTGAGAGTCTGTGAGAGGCCAAAGTCACCCAGTTGGCTCCATGGCTGGTTGGGGACTAGAACCCAGATCGTCTGAGTCCCAGTCCTGTGATCTTGACCGCTACACCACTACACTCACTTTCTGCTCAGCCTATCTCACAGGGTTGTATTGTGAGGATAAGATTGTGAAGAAGAAGAAGAAGAAGAACATTTAAGTCACCTTGAGGTCCTTTCAAGAGGGAAATAGGTGGGGTACTAATGCAATGTAATAATAATACTATCAGAGCTGATTAAATAGGTCCAATGCACTACCTTTCTGCAACATTTTCTCTAACAATGACACACAAGATGAGTTGCACAAAGCACCAGTGGGGATAGAAATAGACCTGTGCCCACTCTCCTCTCACCCAATTCTAATAGTGGAGGATGATTGAAAAGGCTTTTATCATTGTACGTGGCACTACATTTGCAAAAATTGTTAGGTTCCAGCCACTCCGAAAAGCTTCGAGTCTACAACTCCTTTTGTTGTGGCCTATTTCCTCTTTGCTTAGCACAGTTCCCTCCAAAATTAGGTCCACCATTGTAAGCCCAGGCCAATGCAAGATGATTCTGAAACTGTAAAGTCTACTCAGAATTCTTAATGGCGGGAGCCATTGCAAAACCCAGTCCAGTCTCCCCAAAGCCATTATAACATTCCCCAATCCTTTAAAACAACTGCATTCTTCCTCAAACTAGGATTCTGTAGCAGAAAAGAAAAAGGAACAAGCAACCCAGAAACTAAGGGAACACTTTCACTCTGACTGTAGTTTCAGATTAAAACAAATGATCCTAAAACATACAGGCTTCCATCGAATGGTCTTTATCTCATTACAGAGACAAGTTTCTTATGCCAAGGTAGCTTTGTATTGGCTATTTCATTCCCTCCTTTTGAAATTCTTAACATAGGCGTTCAAAACAGGGAAAGAATTATCCTGAATTAAATGGCATAGGATGGTCTCACTGCAAAGTATCTGTTTGTTTTGTTTACACCTGTGAGGTTATCTTCTGCTCATGAGATTAGGGTGGCTTGTTTGATGATCGGCCATGCTGCATGGAAGATGTCCCCCTTCCCCAGGCGGGATGGCTAGCATCACCAAGGAGGAGGAAAGCCGGACACGGAACGACTGTGTCACGCATTCCGAAGTACTGTGTACTCCTCAGTAAATTGTCACTGAATACGTCACTATTATGTACCAGATAAGTGTCATTGAAACTAGGAGAGTTTAGTCCTGCAGTTCTAGAGTACTTCTTCTGATGTTGCTTCAATAGGCATGGACAATTGGTGGCCCTCACTTCAAAACTGAGCCACTCCCTTTGATTAAAGTGACACAAGCCCTTCAGGCAGAAAGCATCTACTGGGAGATCTGTTGAAATCAGCAAGAGAATCAGACTCTGAATTAAAAAATCCTCCTATGCACACACAACTAAATTGGCATGCTGAAAATGAACCCCGCGGGTGTAGACAAGAGTAGATTATTGTGTGAAAGGACTTGAGATCCCTCTTTGAACTATGTTGGCAAATTCACATGCCGGGGATACTGTCCCCTGTTCCTTAATCTGAGCATCTATCCATCCATCTCAGCCAGTCTATTGCACCAGGCCCCAGCTACTAGGTCTCTATGTTCAAGTAAGATGCAAAGTAGATCTTGGAAACCTGAAAACTACCCATTCCCATTGTGAGGTGCCTGGCTGTTAAATAGAGGCTCTGAGCAGAATGGGAAGATGGAAGGGGTCAGGGAGATTCAGCTGGAAGAATTGAAGGAAAGCAAATCAAATGCGGTCCCTCTCTAAGAAAACGATAAAAGCTTCTTTCCTTTTATCAAGACAGCTACCTGCTTTGCAGTACATGGCTCTCATTTGTGGAGAATCAATGCCAGCATTTACAAGCAAGTGCTGATCTAAATGTTTGTTTGCAGCCCTGTTTGAAATTCCTCATCACCTCTTTCTTTAGGTTTATGTTGACATCAATTGTAAACTTTTATGTAAAATGTGTTGGGTTTTTTTTTTCTCACTTCTAGATTACCAGACCTCCTAATGGGCATGCCATCAAAGGAGCCAAAGGAGATCCTGTAAGTTGAATGAATGCATAGCGGGTATCCTGTCAGCTTATTAAAATGCAAGAGATTCTGAATACCTAATACGGATGCAAGACAAGAGAGAGAATGAGCCTTTGAGTCAGATGCTGGCCAACTACTGTTGCCCACTTCCCATTTCCTTGGCCATCAAAGGTCTAATTGCTCTCATTCAGGGAAATACCGTGGGCTTTTCCTATATTTAATTTCTGTACATTTATCATTCCATAGTCATGATGTTATGGATTCTTTTAATGAAGTTGTGACCCTCCATTTTCACTTCTGTGTTTAAAGAGTCCTTTCGGCGGGTATGTAGAGCAGGGATAGTACAGTTTTATTTCTGAAAGCAAAAGAAAACACTCTTTCCACCTGTATATTTGTGCTCTTCCATTATACCACAGTGCCAACTAGAGGTTATATAGTGAAAAAGCATTACATTCTTTGTGTAACGCTCTGATCTCAGTTCTGTAACAAAACTGAAAACAGATACAGCAGCCTCATGTAGAAAAACTGTTCCGTTCTTCAGGTAAAGTGCCACATAATTTCCTCCTAACAAAATATGCTTGCAATTTACAACTTGGGCAGTGCAATCCAATGTGGCTACCTGTTACCCAATGAACTTGGAGGATTGCAGACTGTCTCAACCAGCAACTGGTCTTCTCCCACTTCTTCCAAACAAATGCCTTTATTATGTTAAAGCTGTCCAGCTAGGCTGGCTTTAGATACAAAGGAGTCTTGCAGAAGTCTGCATAAAAGATGCAAGCGAAATTAGAATTCAGCCATTGGAAAAATGTGGCTTAATGATATGAAGTTGATTCCAAATTGACCACCTCTGCTCCCTCCCAAACCAAAAAGAGCTTCATTGGGGATCATGCTGCTTATGGGCTGATCACTTGAGCATCTAATGAGTCTGCACTGGTCCACCCATCTAACCTGATGCCATTTGATCAGACTAACGGTATTGGGTCTGCCTCTCCCATATCAGCCAGTTCACTAGACTTTTCCACAGCAGTTGACAATGCCTGATTCTCAGTGACTGTCAGGCTTCTCTCTGGGTCCACTGGCCTTGGCAGTGTAGCTGTGAGTCCCAGCAGCACCCCTTCCACTTCTGTATCAGGATCATATTCAACAACTTCAAAGTCTGTATTACAGGAGAAGGGGCCCCAGGACCTGCACACACATCCTGTAGATGCTGGAAGGAGTTGAGAGGTGAAGGTTGCTTTCTCACTCCTCCCACCCCACAAAAGGCTTAGATGGCTGTTTCTGGCCATCAAAGACTTTTGCCCCAGGAGAAGAGGCTGAGGCACCACCAGGACACTGTGTATTGTGCCAGGGCCTTGCTCCTCTGCTCCCCACCCCCGAATGTCCACAGGTCTCTGGCTCTGAGGCCCGGCCTTGTTCCAGGCTGGCTGTGAAGGCCAAGGGAGGGGTCTTTCTCCAAGAGACTCTTACTGAGATTGGAACTGGGACGTCAACCTCTTCTAGGGCCCTCTAGACTCTTTCAAACAACTGCAGGATTGCAGCGAATAAAGGCAGACCCTTATTTAAGTTTAGGCAGCCAAAGAAGCCCTACAACCCAGAATATACCCCGGCCACAGCTGGCTGAGACATGTTGGGGATTGTAGGCCTTTCTTCTGTTTGGGCCCCATATATGTGTCTGTCTGTCTGTCAATATATCGCAATTGATTATTAGAGGAGAGGTGGCATTTATTTTGTGCCACTGGCCATCTGAAGTTGCTTCTTATATCTGGTTGTTTTCCTCAGAAGCATTAGTTTTCCCAGGACAATTAATTGCAGTGAGCTGAAAGGATTAGACAGGGGTGAGAAGGGGAAAAGAGGACTCCCAGCTCCAATTGTAGTTGGAAGAAGGTTAATCGGGGCACTGATATTGACAGATCCACAGTTTCCGTCCCGCTGTCCTGCCTCCCCTTTGGTTTGGGATGTTGTAAGCAGCACCCTTGATGTCTGAATCTGTCCACTGTCAAAGGCAAGATGCTAGTTTAGATGGACCACTGGCAGTAACTAATAAGGTTATTATTTTCTGTGTTTGGGTGTATGCACATTTGTTTCTATTTTATAACTTTCCATTATTTCACTGAGCATTTTGTGTATGACATTCATTTTTAAAAGAAATTTTCCCCGTAAAACAATGTGCAGGGCCCACCTGGAAGAAATGGTTCACCTGGTTCACCTGGCCAGCCAGGAATTCCTGGGAATCCTGGTCCCCCTGGAATCTGCCAAAATTGCCCTAGTTTTGGTGATGGGGTAAGTAATTCTTTCTTCTTTTTTGCTCCAAATTTATTACATATAAGATTGCATCCAGTGCCAAGTTGTTAAGAAAAACCTGTTGCTTATTTCTCCATCAAACAGTGCTTTGAATGAAAATGGGGAGTGAGGTGGCATAATAGAGATACACAAAATGGCATGGAAGAAGTACTAGTGATACTAGAGCCTGGGGTCATCCCATGAAGCCAGTTGATAGGAGACTCAAGGCAAATGAAAGGAAGGACTTCTTCATTTGGTGCAGGGTTAAACTACAGAATTCACTTCTGTAAGATGTAGCCATGGCCACCCATATAAAGGGCTTGTAAAGGGTTGGGCAAATTCATGGAGGAGAGGGCTCTCAATGACTCCAGGTCTTACACCAGTAGCTGGGGAACATGGGCAAGAGGATGCTGTTGCACTCATGTCTGACTTGTGGATTCCCCATGGACAGCTGATCGGTCAGCATGTGGGCCACATTCGATGGACCTGTGGGGTGATCTGGCATGGTTCTTATGTTCCCTTTTCCCACAGCTTTAGAAGCAGCAGCGGCCACTTACCACCACCAGGGGCCACCACTGGTCCACACGTGGCCTCTCTGCACACTTACCTGGGAGTAAGTCCTGTTGAACCTAATGAGATTCATTTTGAGCAATGATGCTTCGGCTTTCACTGTAATATGTCCATTCTCCAAACTGGGGCTTGCCTTTACCTGTGGCTTTACTTTGCAGGTGACACAAATACTGGTTAACACAATAGCTTAAAGTGCAGATGAATGAACCTGCATGTAATCCTTTAGAGATGCTTCACATGACTTGTCTAGTCACTCAACAGCATGTTCAGGAAGGTTGCACATGGTGGGGGGAAATTGACCCATTCCACCACATTTGATTTTGAGGTTCTGTTAGTCCTTCCACTGAGCATCTACACAATGCATTCAAATATGCATGAATGGATAAGTCTTTTCCAGCAAAAACATGTCTATTCTACTTTTTGTAGTGTGTATGTTGACTCTCAGTCATGTCGGCTTGGTGGAGCCATTCTAGTACTCTAAGGTACATGCCCTCCAGGGCTAAAATAAATCTGCCATAAAAGAACAGAAAGCGCATATATTTCAAACAGGATGGGAGAGTGAAGAGCTCATAGAAAATGGCCAGGGGAGTTGCAAAACGGACAGTTAATGAAGGACTGTAGAGCAGAACCATCAGGCTTTGTGGTACCTCCCTGGTTCTGAATAGCTTCTGCTGTCACCACAAATTGTTAAATGTTGCGTGGCTATTGTGACGTATTAAAACAGTAGTCACAGCAACATTACTTTTGAATGTATCCAAAGCAGGACTTCGTACCTCACATGTTTCTCATCTTTTCTGCAACTGTTCTGTAGACCTCCTTCCTCAACCCTAAAATGGGATCCCCATCCAGAGAGCGTGAAAAATGCCACATGTGGCTTTCTACAGCCAAGCCCACTGTTGTTTTATGATTCTCCTTTCCTGCTAATTCCATCTGTTAGCTGTCCTTGCCACCCAAGCTTTGGGCAACCTGAAAAATGTGAGGTTTTTTCCCTCTTCCTATCCAAGCAGCATATGATACCTGAGGAATCCCTGAAGCCCTGAAGAACCTTCTTTCTTGGCCACTGTCTACCAAGCTGCCTCCTTCTCAACATAAGATGCACTATTTGGTATAATAAGAACCATGTATCTGATGTTATGGAGGAGACTGGATGAGGGATGGGAAAGTGGATAAGAGATATTTATGGTCAACTGTCTGGAACCTGAACTTTAGCAGCTCAAGGGAGATGTTTAGCTCCTGATCCACATCTGGCCAACTTTGTCAGAGTTGGCACAGAAGCATCCCTTCTTGGCTAATTGGTTAGAGACAATCAACCAAAGGCATGAAGACTCGTCCAAGGGCTCCAGGTTGGGACAGATATTCTTGCTCTGGGACTTGTACGTACTGAATGTTTCAATTTTGTATGACATTGTGAGTGTCCATATTGCTGACCTGTTTATTTGGCTTCTGTTCTTTGATTTCTGTTGCAGAACTTTGCTTCTCAGTATGAAACTGACATCAAGGCTGGACCATACCCAGGCCCTATTGTAAGATAGTGACGCTGTCTCTCTTGTGTTTGAATGCCCTTTGAAACAATTGTTTCTCCCCTCCTTCTACAGATTACCTATTGAACAAATATTCAGAAATGCTGTTCTGTTAGTAGCTGGGAAAGTAACAGCTTTAAAGCAGTATTTTTCCAGGAAATATTATCCGGATCCTAATCTGAGCAATTGTCTGAAACTTTTCAGTCATTTACCTTTTCCGTCTTTTCTTTATCTATTTCTGCATTTCCCAGTATAGCTCTTCTATTTCCACTCCTCTGCCTCCCTGCTCCCATATTTGATTCCCTCCTTCTTCCCTTTTCTCTTATGCATATTTTGACCATATATATATAGTTCTTCATTGCTTGTTCAATTCATTTTTCTCTGCTAGCCATTTCTTCTTCACTTCTTTTTCCCCTTAGTGACAATTTCCAGACCATTCATGCTGCTTTATTCTCTATTTCCAGAATGCAAGTATCGACTGATAACAGATCAATACATTCATTGTTTATAGCTTAAAAAAAACTTCCACACCATTTTAATGTGTTTTTCTTATCTACAGTTGCTAAGATTCCCCCCAGTAAGGATGCTAAATCATTCACTGGGCATGGTACAAAATATTTTGTTTTGTGGGAGGGCAGATTTTTTAGGGAGCTGTCCCTAGATCTGTTTAAAGGTAATAACATTCATATAAAACCCTCTTAGTTACAAATGTGGTGTACAGGAGTAATTTCTGTAATTTCCTCTTTACATGCAAATCATGTGAGTCAGTAATTACAATAGGAGTAGTAATTCCTATTACTAGGCAATAGCTGCCAACAATGATTGTTTCAAACATTATTGATTATTCATTTCAGTGGGGTATGTTTAGAGAATCAGTGCACATTTAGGGATCCAGTCCCAGTGCATGGCATTTTATGTCCAAAGTGGTTCCCAAATTCCTCCCCCTACACACACACACAGAGGAGCCAGCGCGGCTAAAAGTCTTGCCGCTGTACATCAGGCAGCAGATCCAGCTTCATTCCACCATCTCCTGCCTGAAGCCGATCACGTCTCACATTTACATTGCAAGGACAGTACTCTGGTTCTCTGCTGGTACTCCATGACCAGGGCTATTGAAATTGTTCTCAGCAGAGGGATTTTCTGGTTATTTGCTACATCTTTCCTATGTTGTCCATTTATTAATATGTTCATTAATCATAGTATCCATTCCTCTTCTGCTCCTCACAGGTTTTTCTTCTTTCGGTTCATTTGTTCATCATCCATCCATCCATCCCTCCATCCAGTCATCCATCCATCCACTAACTCATTTCTCCATTTCCAGTTGCTTCCCATTTTTCCCTCACAGTGTGTGTCATTTGCATTCTGCTGCTTGGCTTCTTCATCCGAGATGTGCTGAACCAAGAAGGGAAAAAGAAATACCTCACCAGCATGCAGGCTTGGTCACAAACGCATTTGTGAACTTTTGGTCTGGCTTATATTTGGGAACGAGGCTTCTTCCACAGGCAGGGAAATGCATTCTTAATCACTGGAGAGTGCTAGAATGAGAAACTGGACTTTGCGTCCAAAATTCTGCCCTTGATGGTTATATTTTGGTGCAGCATTTTTAAAAAACAGGTCTGGGAACACTGTGAAGAACCAAAACTCCCTCAGCTGCAAATTTCCTGTTAGTGAAGGAAGCAGATTCATGCTTCTTCTTCCATGAATGGGAGTCACTCATCGGTCAGCTGCACAGAGGACCCAGATATGGGCTTTTGCAGTGGCATATAGATCCATCAAATAAATAGGTATAAAAGCTCAATGTCTGTGTATTCTGGGCTATTGACTAGTGTTCTGAGGCTACAAGAGGCACTAACTGTGCTCTCACGATCCTCTTTCATGGTAGCTTGTGTTCTCCAGAGTCTCCCTCCGATATTTTCCTCCTCTTGCATACATTTTTGTTTTGGGTTGTTTGTTTTGGAGTGAGGAAATTCTGGTAGGAAGTTTCATGCCACAAGCCTCATGAGAATTCACAAATCCACTCTGATGCAGCTTTGCCCTAACACCACTTTGTGGTTGGTTAATAGAATCTCCAGAAGAGCAAAGCAATGCAAACCTGGGTTGGGGAGGAGGCATGTTAAGGGTGCAATTCCCCCCTCCCCCCAGCAAGAAAATGGAAGAAGCCTCAGTAAAATAGCAGAGAGGTTCACTGTGTCAGGCACACAATAGCTACAAATATACCATCTCACATGAATGTCTGTACCTGCCACGCTTAACATTCTATAGCACGGGGTGTTTTATTGATCATCCATATGTGGTTTCAGGATTGCTGCCAAATGAGGACCTTCTAAACAGTTCACAGGTTGCTGGACAATGAAATCAGCCTAGTATTTGTTTCTTTTTCATCATAGCAGCTAACCATGAGAGGTATTTCTTTATCAGCACATCTCACCATCCCGGGTTTACTTGTGTGATGGTTATGCATCCGTGTGCATAGAATCTACTCTGCTCTTGACTTTGGATAGCGAGTTTGTATTTTCATCAGAATGTATTCAAGCTGTACTTTGAAAGAGGATTTGTATGGTGACTTATACCCACATGCACACAAACATGTCCAGAAAGTGACAGTACATAAATGGAGCGCATGTGCCAGTCTGTTCTGCAGAGTGCATTAAAGGAATGACAGCCCTTATTAAGAAGGTGGGACTAAAGCCCCTACAATATAATCTGGCATTCCATCTCTAAGCATCATTATCATCATGTGCAAGATACCCCAGTAACTAAGGGGGGCACTTGCGATCAGCCACGGCGCAACTGGCATCCACTGAATGCTTCGATCCAAAGCGTAATCCTCAACAATGAGAGATCTGCGAGTATATCGAAAAAGCCCGCTAAACCCATTGTGACATCCCCACATCTGTCAGATCCGACGCCACCCTGCCACCATTTCCTGTTCCGGCTCCATCAGCCTTTAAGATCACAGTGGGAGAGCCGACGTGGCTTAGTCGTTTGTGGATGCAACTGCTTTTACTGCATTTTCCAGGCCAGCTGTCAAATAATATTTAGTACATACGAATTATCAAAACTGAGTACAAATGACACGGACATGAAATGCAACAGCTGCCAAATGTATGAACTGTTGTAAATCAGTAGCTTTATTATTAACTGCATTATGGAACAGATTACTGGAGCTGCTGTTGCCATTCATTCAGCCCATTCCTTGTGCTGTGCAGTACATCACTGCAGCTGTAATTCTTGCAATATGTTTCCTGTGCAGCTGTCAATGCTCTTTATGCTCAATTGGTGAGATATATATATGTGTGTGTGTATATATATATCTCCATCCTGCCTAGTGAAATATGTTTCACCTATGCTGTGAGTCATATAATATATTTCCATAGCTCTGGAATATATTAGTTGTGCTTTAATGAAAAGAAACCAATGGGGTTTGATCCCCTTCATCAGAGCAATTATAGATGTCTGATGCACCTTACTGTGCAAACACACAGAGGGGCCAGGGGAGAGTTTTATGGGGTAAGCATTTGATGGCAAGGTATGGGCTCAGCTTTAGATATCAAACATAGAGATCCCTTTCCTTTTCCCTGAAACATTGTGCCTTTTGTGTACATGTTGGGGGCAAAGGGGGTGCATAGTTATTTTAATATGTTTGAACAATTTCTTGGCAATGCTGCTTCAGTTAGCAAGGCTTATGTTGCCCAGCTGCCTGGAAGGCAAGATTAATATTTGTCATCTTTGACATAAGACAAAATGAAATAACATGTAGACAATTACCATTCTCCCATGTGCCATATAAAAATCAAACGTGTATAGTCCACGGCTTTAGTCGAATCAGCATACTAGCTGATATGATGAAGGGTTTATGCATGCACCTACCAATGAGTTCATTTTTAAAATAATGAAGGGAGCCCCAAGACCCATTGGAAAATTAGTCATATTCCATATATCCCACCCTTCCTCAAGAAACTCAGAAGAGAATGCATGGCTCTCCCCCACAACAACCCTGTATGCTAGGCTAGGCTAAGAGATGCTAACTTACCCAAATTTAGTTATCTAGATGAGCTGAGGGAGAACCCGAACCTGCCATTCCCCAGTCTTAGGCTGACGTTCTGAATGGCGCACTACACTGGAGTGGAACTGTGGGCAGGGAGCGAGTGCGGCAGCTGCCAATCTCTTCCCACCACTTCCAGGCTCTTCATGAAATAGAGGGTCCTCCAGTGAGCTCCTGGCACCATGCAGGCTCCAGGCCCAGCCTTCCCAAATCCTTCTGCGTGGCAGGTAGGATGAGCCAGCGTACTGTCAACATTTTCCACACACACGCGCGAGCTAGGAAGCTCCATGGTTCTTTGTTTCCTCTGCCACTGGCCCTTCTTACCACCACCCATGGAAGCCCCCATGCAGTTGCCCATAACATGGCTATGAACCTCAACTCTCCGTTTGGGTTAAAGATGGTTCTGTTAAAGCACATGCTGCTCTTTGCTTTTGCCTCCAACATTAACCCACTTTTCTTACAGCTTATGTTTGGCACCTTCACTCTGCTTCACTAGAATATTCTCAGCTCACATGATATGACAATAATTCTGCATTATCTCAATGACTTCCTCTTTTTTTCCCATAGACTGGTGGATTCCCTGGCTTACCTGGGCCTCCTGGGCCTGTTGGTCCCGTCGGTCCTCCCGGTCCAGCTGTAAGTACAATTTATTTGTTTATTGCATGCAACAGTCTCTTGATTAATGGGAATGCATTTCATGAACAAAGCCCAGACTAGATGTTCTACAGAAGAGATGCACTTTAAAAAAAAAGGCTTTCTGAGACTATAGTCCCCAAGTGGGGGGGGGGGGACACGCTGGAGGGGGGTGCTTTGAATAGAAGGCAAAGGATTAAGCATCTTCTTCCCATTCACTCTTCTGATTGCACCCACACACACACCCATGGCCACTTTTCTTTAAAACACACCTGCGGTCAGGCCACTACCTAGGGAGCAATGCCTATGTTGACTCTACTTCTTCAATGGTTCACAGTTAGTAGTTGTCCCAATTCAGCACATTAGTCCAGGTCCTGAGCTACCCACTTCCAGCAAAGCATCTTATGTCACACATGGAAAATCCATGAACGGTGGCACCGATGTCCAGCTTAGAGAGGCACCCATGCCCTCGTCAAGAGGTCTTGATGTTACCCGCATTCCTTTGTCATGGAGGTGTTGGCATTGCCTGGCCACAATCCTGCTTGAAGGATGTGCTCATGCACACACCTCCCATGCCCTGAAATGCCTAAAGGGCCACTGCTAAATTGAGGTGTGTAAGGCAAGAACAAGCAGAAGAATTATGGGCAGCTGGGGGATGCACTGGGTTGGAGAGTGGAGTTAGGTCCATTAGAAGATGTCAACTGGATGGTGTAGCAAGTAACTACATCTTCTAGTCTTTGTTTAAGTGTAAGCTCAGGGGCCCAATCCAAAGCCATACTTAAGTTATACACGAGTGAATCTCAGTCAGTGTTGGGTTCTCACACCTTCTCTCCTCCCCTCCTCCCCAGTACACACTAGTGGATGAGAATGGAAACATCTGTTTTCAGTTCCAGTGCCTAGAGCTTCCCCTTTTGTCCAAGTACCAGGAATTCTAGCTAGTTTAAACAAACGATAATCAAACCTGGCTCGTAACTGAGATATAACTGAGGTTTCACTTTAGTTTAAGAGTTGGAACAAATGTTTCAATCCTATCCCTTGGTGCATGCCAGAAGAAGAGCAGGGAGAAAATGCACTTGCAGATTTGATACTTGCCAAGATTCATTCAGTAGCACAAACTGTGGTTCAGCAGCACTCAGTCCAAACTGTACTACTGTTTGGCAAAATATAATTTAGTTTTTTAAATGATACAAATACGATTAATTATTGCATTTTAAAAATTAATTTGCACAATGATATCTTTGTACTGGTGTAAAGCCAGCTCATGCTCTTCAGTTTCCTCTTGGCATCTCAGAAACTGAGCATTCACAAATTGAGAAATTGTCCCGATTAGCTGTGATGATGGTTTTTAATGGTCTAGCAAAGAATGGAGCTCCTGAGTTCTAAGTTGTTTGGTCTGTCTTACTAGGGTGCCCATGGATACCAAGGTCCTCCCGGTGAACCTGGACAAGCTGGCCAACCAGTGAGTATCACGGTGCCTGTTACAGAAAGGCCCTTACAACTTGTCTTCCCCTCGCTTGCCCCCACCTTTTGTTTTGTTGTTTGTTTGTTTGTTGGGGGGTTGGGGGTTTTTTGTCGTACTGTAATGAAGTCTAGATTGAATCCTTCCTGCAGTCATTAGCAGCCCTCATTTTTATTAGATATCTGCAGTATTTGTTTTCTTAGAATTATAGAAATAGTGACGACAACCTTGCCATCAAAGATTTTGCTCCCCCGGTTTGAAAAGTAGCTTGCCTCTAAGAGGAGGGGGAGGAGGATGGTGATGGTGATGATGGTGATGAGATCACGTTTTATCCCACAATGTTTCCTCTTACAAGGGACCCAAGATGGCTTACATCATTTTTATCCACTCCATTTTGTCCTCACAAGAATAATCCTGTGAGGTAGGTCAGAAGGTTAGGTTGAGAGGGAGTGGCTGGCGAAAGTCACCTGGTGAGCTCCATGGCTGAGTGGGGACTAGAACTCAGATCTTCCATCACCGCTAGCCACCACTCCACACCGGCTCCAAACATCAGGCTTGTTTGCTTGCTTGTCTGTCTGTCTGCCCATTTGTTTCCTGAAAGCTTCTGCTGTGCCTTCCATAGAACTCACCCAGATACAAAATCTACAGTCCTGTTTGGACTATGATTTTAAGCATATCAAATCAAGGAGGCATAGAGAGAGGGGGGGAAGAGTAGGGGTAAATTGGGTAGGAAAGAGAGGGGGAGGGGGAAGGATTCAACATAGTGGGATAGATCCTGGTTTGAGAGGAGAACGCCACAGACTGCATGAATTCATGGGTGGGAAGGAACAGGTAGCCATTTTAGATAATTCCTCCTCTCCTCTGCAACCTCCTATGCCCACCAAGATCTGCTTCAGGGGGCTGGAGAAGACTCCAGAAAAAGGTGTGAGGGTGCTCTGAGGGATGCAAAATTGGAGAACATCATTCCCTGGATTCTTCCCTCTGTCAAGAAGGCTCCACCAGATCCTATTTTACTCCACCAATTGAGTTTCAGTTCTGGATTAAGTACTGATCTCCTTTTTTATTATGCACATAATAGTGCTTTAAATTATATGACCAAACATCACTGGACATAATGCTGAGTCATTGAACAATGGCCAGTTCATACCTTATTAGATCCATAAAAGTGAAATTACTACAGCCAAATGTAAATGAGAACATAAACAAATGTAGTAACATCCCACAAAACCGTCAAAATTTTATATTTTTCAAGACTTGCTAACCATGCAAGATCATGAGCAAGCAACTGGTGCATATGATGACTAGTGCTACACACCATAAAAGCATCAGATAAAAGGATGTGTTCACGTGACGGAGGGAACGATCCCATGGCTCCTAGACATCATCCGGGGGCATGGGATGTTCCCCGCTCCAAACTCAAAGAGGGTGCTCCATCTTCAGAGCTTTGACGGCCCTTCCCTGCTTGCTTGCAGCTGGCAGGAAATGATTCACACCAGCTGCTCCCTGAGATCAGGGAAGTAAGCTTGGAGACGGGAGAAGGAGCTGTTGCACAGGCAAGGAGTGGAGGAGAATGAGGCTGGCAAGATACGAGCCCTCGCAAGGCTCTTCCGGTCACTTTCTCTTCACCTCTGCTGTTCCTACTCTTATGAACTCAGCCATCTAGGAGGAGCAGGAGGACAAAGGTTGTGCTTCCACCACTCCTCCCGCTCTGCATCAGCCAAGTGCAACCTCCAAGTGCAGGGGTTTGTGCTCGTCTCTGTAGGATCGTGTCTTAAATGGTCTCTGCTGTGTGTACTTCACAAGGTCAATGTTTTGGCCTTGACTTCCATTAATGAGTTGTGGAGGGAAATTTATTTTGGCTTTATTTGTTTTCAGGGCCCTCCTGGTCCCCCTGGAATGATTGGTCCTGCTGGCTCACCTGGAAAAGATGTAAGTGGGTTTTGCTTTTGTTTTTGTTTATTAGCAAGATGCTAGCATATGTACATAAAGTTACAGGGCTTTTCTACATGGGGCACTTATTTATTTATTTATTTATTTATTTAAAGTTTTTATATGCCATCCCCTTGCTACATGCTACATACTTATCATGTAGTTGTCATTCTCTACGCATGGTTGGGAAGAAGAAGACCCGTTTACCTTCATTTATGTGTCTAATGTCCACTTTCGGTAAGCTTGTTTATTGTAGGAAAATGTGTCATTTAACTGAGAAAGTGAAAGAAGGTGCAATCCTTCTTGTGTATCTCTGCTATCCCACCATAACACAGTGCCACCTAGAGGTCATCTAGTAGAAAAGCAGGAGAGAAACCATTCTGCATGGAGTACTCAGATCTCAATTCTGCAATGAAACCAAAAGAAGATATGGCCGATGATGAGCCAATTAAAATATTTATGCAGAAGATCTTATTGAAAGAGAGCTGGCAGCAGAGTGTCTCTCTGACAGTGTATTGTACAAATGAAAAGTTCTTCCTCTCATGTGAGGTGGTCCCCAATTTTCACCATGTTCTCCCACCCTATGCAATCCTGTGTGCCGTGCCCTGTGCCATTCTAGAGGGTTTCTCAGCCATTAAGAATGGATGGGAGAGGACTTAAGAGGGCTGTGCTACAGAGGTGGCAGGAAGACCCTCTTGTGTGACTAGCATTCTGCTCACACGGTGCTGGATCTGGGCCATTGTTATGTGCAGTGCTAAATACTTTGTCTTGGTTTTCACATGACTTTGGGTTCCAATCCGCAAGACTCACAAAGATCCATGAAAGAGACTGGTGGAGGGAATAGATTAGCAGGCCGGCTTTGGTGACACCCTAGTCCCACCTGTCCAGATACCAGCTTCTCTGCGGTGGCGCCCCACCCATGGAATGCGCTCCCCAGAGAGGTCCACCTGGCGCCGTCGTTATTTGTTTTTCGGCACCAGGCTAAGACCTTTTTATTTAAAACTTACTTTAAGTGTTAATTTATTGTGTAGGATTTAAAAAAATTTTCAAGCCGAGATGCACTGGGTTTTAATATTTTTATTGTATAACTTTGGTTTTGTTTGTAAGCCACCCCGAGGCTTTGTTGCGATGGGGACGGCATAAAAATGTTTTAAATAAATAAATAAATGTACACTGACCTGCAATCAGAAAGAAAGGATCACCTGCGGATTGTCCTCCCATCACTCACACCAAATATGCCCTGGAGTTGTATTGTACAAATTCTCAGTAATTTTGCACAATATTTTGTAATTGCATTGTATGGGGGAAAACTCACACATTCTCCAGCACAGTTTCCAAAAAAGAAATATTTTCATGCTTTACTCAATGGGGGAATGCACACATTTGGGAATGTGCTTTGGAAATTTTTTGTTTTCCCTGTTCAAAAATGTGTGTATTTTTCCTGTCTGGGATGGAGGACAAGGGGGAGATGCTCACATTCCAGAGCAAGAACCAGGTGAAAGAAGCATCAGGGTAGAAAATGAAAAACATTGACAAGCTTGAATATTGCTCATTCTGCTAATACGTCTAGCTGGATCTGGTACTGCAATGTAATTTCATGTGGTACTAGTACAGATTTGGACCAATCTGTTTGGAAAGAGAAGGGTTAAACTTCCCACTGCTCATTTTTCCTCCAAAATTCCACACTGACAAAAAAAGATCAAAAGATTAATTCTAGCAGAGACCTTTTTCTTCAATTAACCCCTCCCTCTCCTGAGTGGAATTTCTGCAGTCAAACATATGAAGACAAAGGTTTAATCTTTTGCTCATGGCATGTGCTGACCCTGATCTAAATTAGGACAGTGGACTCATGAAAGCGATCGGGTTCAGCTACACCTCCATGATTAACAGAATGTGTAGCTTGGCCCTGCAATGCCAGAGCAAAACAGTGTAAAAATATTGATACAGTTCCTTCTTTTTTTATTTTTAGGGAGAATCTGGCAGACCTGGCAGACCTGGTGAACGTGGATTGCCCGGCGCTGCTGTAAGGAGAAACACCCGTGCCTATTCTTGGTTTTGAATATATTCCAGGGTGAATCTAGAATAGTCCAGTCTGGGTGTGGCATGTCAAGAAGTCCCAGATCTTATTAAAAGCCCCCTCTGCAAGGTTGCTGCAGTGTCATTCAGAGGATTGCATCTCTCTGGCCGCTCATGGTGATGGAGCAAATTGTTTTCGAAAGAGCAAAGCTGTGACAAGCCTCAGTGCAACCTTCCCAACAAAATACCCTGACAAAATATCATGGAATGATTCATTTTCTCCAGGAAAAGAAAATCGAAAAGGCCTTCTCAGCTTTGTGAAACTGTAAATTTACTCAGGCCTATTCAGCGGTTGTGATGTTTTAGATGCGCTTGTAAGATTTATAATGGTCAATTAATTATACCGATTTTTGTAAGTTGAGGCTACTTATTTAGTTTCATATTAATTTTTGTGCAGGTCAAGAAGGGTGTCCTGTTTTGTAAACACATTCACATCATTTCAATGCTGTTCTATGCCCTAATGCAGAGGTGGGGAACTTCATCCAACCCAAGGGCCAAATTAAATTCTGAAGAAGTTCTCAGCAGCTGTATTCCAGTCTTGGGTGAAGCCGAAGACAAAGCGGGTGGGGCCAAAAGTACAGAAACTGCCATGCTGTGCCTTAAAGCTCGTCTTGCCAGAAACAATCCCTTAGGAGATGTGCATCAGCCCTGGATGCACAAAATCCAGCAAACTATCATGGATATCAAGTGATCTGTGACTGGGAAAAAAGGGATCAGGCCAGGTTAAAGGGTACGGTCTAGTGGGAATCTGGATTTGACCCTAATTCCCCATCCCTGCAGTGGCTATGAATGTTCTGGTCCATTTTTCTTCTTTGAACTGTTGGTTTCATTAGGTTTCCCTAACTTTTCATCTGGTTGGTTAGGGAAACCCAAGTCAAGTTTGCCAATAAACTCATGTCACATTATCCAAAACACATGGACCAACACAAACAATCTGAACCAATCCCAAATGAGCAGGAGAAAAAAAGGGTACATGATTGGCACAACATGGGTATTTCACAAGGTGATTTAGTTTCTCATGTCAAAAATTCACAAAAATCAATGAATTTATCACCAGCTAATGGTAATAACTGCTAAAATACTAGTGGAGTCAGCATCCCGATTCTTGAAAACTGCCAAGTTTTCAGAGCAATCATACCTGAACATTACTGGTTCCAATCTATTATAAAATTCAGACCTTCTGTTATTGGACCAGATGTGTGAACTCCAAATACCAATGTGTTCAGAATCTATTTTTTTTATATTGTCACTTTTTCCTGACAGTCATGAAGCATTTGTGTCCTCTTTGAATTCAGTACTGTTTGGCTTTTTCATTAATTTGGCTTTACTTAGCTTGATTGCTCTGGATATCCTTCGTTTCTTAATTTGATATTTCATCAATAGTGCTTAAGGTCACACTCTTACATAAGCTTATCTGAGAGCAAGCTTAACTGAATGCAATGCGAGATACTTCCAAGTAACCATGTTAGATACAGCCTGATTTGTACAACATGGTAGATTGCTAGCCACAGGGTTGATTAGCTTGGCTTGTTTGTGGGCAACAAACTCCCTTGGCAACCCATAGATCTGTTATACCTTTAATGGGTAGTTATGTCAGCTGACTGACCCCATCATGAGGACCAAAAATGCCCAGCAAACTTCTCGGCAGGAGTGACTTACTGCTCTTGCCAAGGTTGCCCAAGTGCCTACCAGGACCAGCTGCTCCACAAGTACCCAAATGGCGCCTGCACTACCTTACTTCTTTCCCTTTCTGCAACCATGAGCTTTTTTCAGTTTATGGGTCTGTTTTGCCCTTTATGCATTTTTATTCCAGAACTCATGCAAAGCAGCTTAAAAGCCAGCTTACATGATCCCTGTTCAATAGCCACTGACAACCCTTCAAAGTGCCCAACCAGCCCTTTGGAAAGCTGTCTGTGGACATGAACTTGATTTATTAGTTATTTAGTTGCTTTGCGGGGACCTCCTAGTATGTGCAACTGTGCTTGTTTCTCTTTGTGCTGTCTTTTACAGTGCTTGGAACATAAAACAGAGAATGCAATACAAATTCTTTTAGCCAATACCTATGAATCAAATTCTCAATTTAATTTACTGTTCCTGCCTCCTCCTCTTCCGTTTTAGGGCCACAAAGGTCCTCCCGGAATGCCTGGAATGCCTGGAATGAAAGGTCACCGAGTAAGTGTTTTATCACATGCGACTTTTACTTTAACCACCAATTGGTGAAAAATACCAAGAGGTTGGATGCAAAAAAGAAGACAAGAGAGGACACAGAACTGCATACAATCTGCACGTGCTGATCTGTGAAATAGATGCAAATGCAGATATAATTATTACAATGGAAATGGAAATGCAGTTCATGTTACTGTAATAGGGAGCGGTGTGGTAAGGTGTGATGAATTTGCTTTTCTGCTGCTCAGAAGCAGCAACTTCAGGGCAACTGCTCCTTCTCCTGTCTGATGCTTTGCCTTTCAACTAGACTTGGACTGCGCAGAAGGAAAGGACTCCTTTGAATAAAGGACTGCCCTCTATACTGTAGGACACACAGCCTTCCCAACAACAGACAAATACTGGCGTAAAGGAAGCCCTTACTGCAACTGACCACACATCTGAACTCAAAGGCTTTTCTGGCTGAAGTAGGTTGGCAGCCACTGAAGTCCAAACGATCGAGCTCTTAGCTCCATTTCAACCAATCCCTTTTCTCAGCACAAGGTAGTTGCAATTAATTTTATAGGATCGGGGCCCCTTGGAAGAATGAACATCACTGATGAAGACAGGGAAATTAGAAGGTATCTTAAGAAGCATGTGATTTTCATGATTTTTCATTTCCATCGCAATGTTAATCCAGTTTGGGTTTAATACCAGGATTACTTTTTCACCTCGACATATTGATTTTTAATAATGGCATACCCATTTCATTTGGTTTGGGCCTCTGGTGCTTTCTTTGCCATTCAGAACAAGCATGTGCATCCAAAAGGCTTGAAGCAAGTTCTTCAAAAGGTTGTCATATGAAATGTCTGATGTGCTGTTCATATTTTATTTCTTCCCTTTCCTTTCATCAAGGGCTTTGATGGAAGAGATGGTGCCAAGGGTGATACAGGTGCACCTGGTCTAAAGGTAAATATTAACTTACCACCTATTTATTTATTTACTTACTTAAAGTTTTTATATGCCGCCCAATACTAAATTCTCTGAATGGCTTACAAAAAACAAAACAACCACAAACAACACACAACACACTGCATCCAATAAATAATGATAAATTCAAAGATAAAACCAATTAACTGTTACAATATTGGGGAAATAAAAACAAAAAAATTAAAATAGAATTTAAATAAAATAAATAATAATAAAATTATTATTTTATAAAACCTTGGAAAATAAATCCTATCCTGTTGGCAGCTGCTTTCACCAGAACAGAAGCTGCATTACCTGTGTGCTGGATTAAGAGTGTACTCCTAAACACTGCTTCCGAAGGAGTAAGTCCCATGGAACACCTCAGAACTTACTTTTCAGTAAACCTCTACAGGCTTGCATGTGAATTCAGTGCAACTTTAGTAATAAATATATGGCTGCACTGAATGATTCATTTCTACCTTTTGTCAAATTACATAGGGCAAGGTCCAATATTGCTTCTGTATTCCTGCCACTTTAGTTCAGCTAGAAGAACCCACCACTCTTGCAACAGGCACTAAAATAGGACAGACCTACAAAGCTCCTTTCTGAAAGCTTCATTGACCTGACTCGTTCCAGAAATGAGCAGTTTGCTCATTTTTTATCACTGCAGGTTCTGTCCCACTGCAGTAGCTCTGGGTCCCACAAGCATGTGGGCAGCATTAGATACCACCCATTATTTGCGTATCTCTTTGTTAAACCCTCTCACACCCATACAGACATACAGTTATGCACTCATGTGCTAAGCAGAGTGGGAGAATATTTGCCATTTCATTGATAGAATGGATAGATTTGGTGCCTGGATTCAGTCCTCCAGCCCTACACGATTTCTCAAACTATTGATCAGAAAAATGGATGGGCATCCAATCAGGCCAAGATCATTGCATGGACAGCCCCGAAGGCTGCCGGCAGCTTTAACCCATGGATTTCCTTTCTTGCACATATGAAGAAAGGTGTGATCCCAAAAGGGCTCCACATATGGTGTCCTGCTTATTCTGTATGGTGTCCTGCTTATTCTGCCTGGATCAGGGCAAACATTTTTCATAGTTCATTAGAAAATAGCTTGCACACACCATTCAAATGAGAAACAAGAAAGACCGTACGTTTACCAAGTGCTATTATTATTATTATTTGTTTATTTAATAGGGTGAAAATGGCCTTCCTGGAGAAAATGGATCCCCTGGACCAATGGTAATTTTTCTTCCCATCTCCCCTACACCCACAAAAAAAGGAAGATTTTAAAAAATGCAATCCCCTAACCCCAACCCCAACCCTAACCCTTTTAATATAACATTTGCCTAGAAACCAAGTGTGTTTGCTTTCGCTTCCTTTTCTAAAAGTCATGTATCTTCCTCAGGGTCCAAGAGGCCAACCTGGTGAGAGAGGACGACCTGGACTTCCAGGAAGTGCTGTAAGTAACTGGGCCAGAATAGCATGTTCCGTGATTGTCAGTGGACCCTCAGCCAGGACATCTTCAACAGTATCAACATAAAGGATTGTTTTAAATTCCAGACTCTGAACAAAGCTGTAGACACTACTCACAGTTTTTTTTTTTTCAAATATACATTATTCCTTCTTCTTTTGTGGGTAACCTAGGAGCACAGGAAAGGATACAGACGTTTTCACATGTTAGGCTTCCTTCCTTCCTTCCTTCCTTCCTTCCTTCCTTCCTTCCTTCCTTCCTTCCTCAACTGACTTCTTTGTAAAGAGCAAGCGTTGGCAAGAGTTGAGCAGGGCTATCAAGGACAGGACATTTTAGAAGGGTGCCTAAGTTGGAGATGACTTGACGACATGTAACAACAACAGTTACATTATGAAATGGCAAAGTGATTTCATTTCTAATATATTCAATTTTTTAAAGGGTTCTCGTGGCAACGATGGTTCTCCTGGAGCAGCTGGCCATCCTGTAAGTATCAGCACATTGTGTGATTATCTCTCTTTCCTTTCGCCTCTTCTAACATTTGTAAATATTGTTCATGTTAACGTGGCATCCATCCAGCTCCTCTGTTGTTTTAATTGAAGGCAAGGCAAAAGCGCAAGTGCCTTGCTCTTCTGATTTCCCATAATGAAAGTATTGGTTAAAATCCAACTCATGGTTCTCAAGTCACCTGAATTCCAATTCAAATATTCTGTTAATTGTGGAGAAGCAGTCCGAGGCTATAGTTAGGCAATGCATGCAACTACTGGCATTCTGCTTCCACGTATTCCCCTTCCACCCTCAAATCATTTCCAAATTAAACAGAAGAGTGCAGACAATGGTATCTCAACATGTAGGCATGCCAGCTAACATTACCGGTGTTGCACTCTGAACACCAGCAATAGCTTCAATAGTAGTTGAAGCTATTGCCATTAATTTACATTAGCAGTGGTGACCCTTTTCATACCCCTCCCTGCCCTGATTGTTTGTTGGGCTGATAGATATTTGGTTATCCCCAGGAGAATATGATGCCACACATCCGGTTTTTTAAAAATAATGAAAATGACTAGTATATTTTTTCCTAACTTGCATTTTTGTTGCTGTTTTCTATAGGGTCCACCAGGCCCTCCCGGACCCTCAGGAATCCCAGGTGCCCCAGGTTTTAAGGTATCTGCCTAAACATATTCATGTGTTTCTGCGGAAAAAAAAAATGTTCAATGCATTTACAGTTGTTTAATGTATTTACAATTGCTCTTCAATTGGTTTCACTGCAATTGAAGTTAAGATGGTATATGTGTGCTTTTCACTGTTTCGTATAGGTTAATAGCGCACTTGTCACTAGAAGATTTCTTAATTCATAGATTCTACATTAATTAATTAACATTTTAATTGTCCATACGTATAGATTTGAATAGCCTGTCTCTAGCGTCACACCCTCTTTTACCGATGCAGACCTAATGAGCAATGTATGAATTAGCCCATGTGAGCAGGGAAAATGAAACACCTGCTCAAGCAACACAATCAGATATGTCAGTCCCTGGCAGAAGGCCAAATTTAGTTGCATGGTGAAACTGCCATATCCGCTTCTACATTAGTTATTGTTTATGTTCATATGCCTGGTAGGAAAAATGTCATAGTTCTCTCGCACTTAAATATTAACTTTTCCATTAAAATGGAGATGTTTTATAGAATATCACCTCTGTGTGTGTTTAGGTGCTTCAGCTTCTGTACAGGCTACCATTTTGCATGGCTATCACTGAGGGGTTTTGTTCTTCTTCTTCTTACTTCTGAATAGAAGACATTGGGTTCTACCCAGAATCCTTTGGGGGAAAGTCAGCTTAAGAGGTAGAAAGCTCATAGAGGTGTGCAGTGGAGCCACCTTGAATGTCCTCCACTTTGTAGTCAGCAGTTCCATGAAGCCTTTTCCTCACATTCTAAGTATTGATGACTCTTGAGAGAACATGGCTCATGTGCACGCCAAGGCTTGTTCAGGATGCCTGTCCATCAGTGGTCTACCGTGCCCTCCCTCTTCTCCTTGAAAAAAGCTGGCTAATCAATGAGGTTAGTTCAGTTGCTTTTATACTCTCTGATTCACAGGGAGAAACTGGTCCTCCTGGTCTCACGGGTCCTGGAGGGGCTCCTGGAGCAAGAGGAGAACCTGGTCCTCAAGGTCAGCCTGGTCCTGCTGGTCCTCCTGTAAGTGCCCTCCACAAAAAGTATATCGGTTTATTGACCCACAATAGTCTATTGCATCAGCACTGTAGAATTTTGAAAGCATGAAGTCTAGAACAGGACTTTTATCACTGATGTCCAATTATTCTCGGTAGGGTCCCGGAGGACGTGATGGAAGTCCAGGTGGAAAAGGTCAACCGGTAAGTATCGCAGTGAAAGACATGGCTTTGACTCAAGTCCTGCTGAGATTGCACACGTTGTCCAGTGCGTGGGGTTAGAGCACAGCTTATTTCTCCATAGGGTGCTGCTGGTATCTCCGGTCCTCCTGGATTAAGCGGAGCCCGTGGCCCCCCCGGTCCTCCCGGTGCTAATGGAAACCCTGGACAAAGAGGCCCGCCTGTAAGTCACTAAAGGCTCTTATTTCATGTGTCCTCATGAAAAATACATCTAGAAAAATAAAACCTGTGATGTCATAACCTGTAGGATGCCCTTTATCAGAAGGACATCCTTTGAAAATAACCATTAATCTTCGAGCTTCCAGCTTTTCTTGGGCAACAACGTTGCTTGTTGTTTCCTGGCATGTTGTTCTTGTGATCCCCATAATACAACCTGAGATGGCACCAACTGTCCAAAATACTAGCAGTAACAAAATATTTCAATAGCTGTAATTGCATGACTGGTAACTATCTGTAACTGTGTTCATGCTTTTCATGACCGCCACTTGATCATCATGAGCATCATGTGTTTGCACTGTTTGAGCTCATAAGCACATTAAATGATCAATATGCAAACCATCCATTAATTCTGAGGCCCCTGAATACATATGGGGAACATCTATGTCAGTCAAGTTTTATTGAAATTGTTTTAGCTGCCCATTTTTTAAAAAATGTGTTTTTTAAAAAAATATTGGTATTTTATGCTGTTTTTATTGTATTTTGGTTTGTGTTGTCTTATGAATTGTGATCAACCACTCACAAAGCTTTGGGGACTTTATAGGGATTATAATAAAAATAATACTAATAACCTCACATTGGATTGCTAGCGCAACTCTAAAAGACTGTTGGAACCTGTGCCTGTTTAGACCGAGCATTTTGTGTTTCACAAAATTTTAATGGCTTGATGTTCTTTTCAGGGTGAACATGGTAAGAACGGCGCAAAAGGAGAACCTGGAGCAAGAGGAGAACGGGTAAGTGCTTGCTTCCATTGTCCTAGTAAACTTGGGTAGGATAAATCTGCAATTCCTATTTGTTTGGATGAATTAACACTGATTTCAGAAAATATATTGCCCTATTGGGATTCTATCTGCAAAATATTGTCAGCTTTACCAGTTAATAATATTTTATTGACTTTTGCCATAAGGGTGAAAATGGCACTCCAGGTGCTGCTGGTCCTCCAGGAGAAGAAGGCAAACCAGGAGCAGCCGGTCAACCTGGCACAAATGGAATACCCGGAAATCCAGGAGAGCGGGCAAGTACTTGAGCATCACGTTTTATGGGATGGCACAGTTGCAGCCATCCACACCAGGGTCCCACTTAAGCTGAGGTTGTTTGTGTAAGCATGGATGCATGCTTAGGCAGAAAAGGCTCTACGACTGCACCATTCCCTAGCCTAACAGTGCGGCCTTTTGCATATCTACTCAGAGGTATGTCTTACTGAGTTCTGTAGGCCTCACTGCCAGTCAGCATGGACTGGATTGCAGCCTAACTCCAAGATGGGAGACTTGAGTTGCGATTACCATAACTGTCAAGGCCCATCACACTATGCAGAAGAATATGAATCCAGGAGAATGAAAGCTAATTGGAGGAAAGGCAATGAGATTTCCCATGGTCCCTTAGGTTCTTGCCCTTATATCCCAGTCCTGGCCTGTATCATTCTTCATTATCTATACCATGAGTTTGTAAGTCCCTTCAGACAATTAAGTGCCCCTCCATTAGCTGTATCAGGTGCAGGAGACCAGAATGTGAGAAGCACCACCAATTGCAGCAATGATATGCAGCAAACATCAAGTGTTTGTCCGTAAAAGCTTATGCCAGGACGAATCAATTATGCTTCTTTCTTGTTTCTGCTGCAAGGAACCAACACTGCTACCACTCTGGGGTTTATTTAATTCACCTTCAGTCAATCATTCACACTGGCTGAAAGACTGAAACCAATAGGTGGGGATGCGCAGTTCCTTTCAAAATATCCCTTCCAAAATTGTTTGACCTAATATTTCATGGCCCACAAAATGAAAACGCCTGGTGTTGTCTGCTTGCTTGTTTTTCAGGGTAGCCCAGGATTCCGTGGACCTGCTGGCAGCAATGGGCCTCCAGGCGAAAAGGTACAGTTTTGTCCTCTTCTTAGAAAGCTGCTTTCTGTAGTGTTTCTTCTACTTTGCATTCAGATGACAGAGAAAAGTATATGTCTGTATTGCATTAATAGCCCCATGTTGTAATCTTTCAATGTCCTTGCAGGGTGTACCAGGGGAACGAGGTTCTCCAGGCAGCCCCGGACCAAGGGGTGCCCCTGGGGAGCAAGGACGTGATGGCGGCCCTGGTCTTCCAGGAATGAGAGTAAGTTCAACCCTCTCCAAAGAGGAAGACTGGGAGTAGCTGCGGTGACTAGACAGAACCCACATGCCCATAATTTATTTTGTGAATAGTCAGTTCAGATGCCAGTCCTCAAGATGTTGTGCGTTTGCTTTTTGGAGTCAAAGAATCAAGAGGTCATGTTCTAGGAAACCTGAATGCATTTTGAGATCAGGGGATTTCCCTTTTAATGAGAGTTCCCTACCAGTTTTCAAGACCTGGACAATCCAGTTTCCCCTATACATTTTTGAGACGTATAAAGAGAAGCACTTTGGTGTACAGTGGAGGAAACGGCAGAGCTGCTTGGTACTGTAGCCACAAATTCCGGGACTGAGTGCATTCTTCTTACAGGTAGTAAGACCGAGTTCAGCAAGACTTAGCCCAGGCAAGCGCATGTAGAACTGCAGCCTAAAAATGCTGGCATTGCGCTAGAGTTGCACAGAAGGGCAGGCTGCAGGTTGAGGGGTGTGGGCAGTGATCACTGCTGCTGCTGCTGCATTTCCCCTCATTCCATCGCACCAGTGGGACCCCATACTAGCACAATGGACAGGTAGCATTTCACGAAGAAATCCCAGAAATGAGTGGAAATATTTGCCTGGATCAGGAGAGATCCGGAAGAGAGCTCCTCATGACAGGAGTGAGATTTCTGCTTGTTCTGGCTTGCTCTGAGTACTGTGGCCTCACTGTTGCATTGCCAGTGGATGCCCCGGGTACATGGGTACCTGAGGATGCTGCCCTAGATGCCCTATAGGTAGAAGCAGGGATGCCATTCCCACCATCTCCAGCTTCCTGTGCCCCTAGCATCTGCTCCACAAGCCCTCCAGAACAGCATGGGGGATGATGCTAGGTGAAGAAAGGTTCAAAGGCGGCAAGAGCATTTTCATGACCCATCTCATACAAAATAAGAGGAAACAAATCTCAGTTGAGGAAGCCTGGTCTGCCTCCTGTTGAAGGCAGATAACTGAGGCAAGCAATCCAGGATCAGTCACTGCATGGCTCAGCAATGAGAGCTCTGTTGCTTTCTTTATAAGCATCTTTATTGCTTTCTGTGCCTAAACATTTGTTCAACCCTTGCTGTGCAGAAAGCAATCTTCATACTATTGATCTGCTGGGTCCACATCCCCAAGCTTAATCCGAAACGACATTAAAAAGCAAGTGCTGTGACATATGGACAATAAAGGCGCACATCTTGCACAAATATTCTTTCTATTTTCTCACACAGGGATTAACAGGAAGTCCCGGAAGTCCCGGAGCTGATGGAAAACCTGGTCCTTCTGTACGTAAATAATTATATGCCACTCCTGTCATTATACCTGACTTTGTTATCACCTATATGGCAAAAAATGTATAGATTTCCTTTTAGCCCATGGGAATTTACCTTCAGAATCTTAGGTGGAGGGAGTTTAAAAAATCTCATTCACATAATGAGATATTTTTACCAATTTGTTAATTCATAAGGCTGATACTATTCCGGGTTTTTTCCCACTTCTCTACTGCACTCATCATTATTTCTCTCTCCTCTTCTATGCCTTCTATTTGTTTGCATCAGGGACCTCCTGGAGAATCAGGGCGAAGTGGTCCCCCAGGTCCAGCTGGTCCACGAGGTCAACCAGGTGTCATGGGCTTCCCAGGTCCAAAGGGTGGCGAGGTTAGTATAACCTAGAGAATCCATGCCACATTCTCCTCTTCTACACTTCACAGTAACGTCATATGGGAAGGGCATTTGAAACTTTTTGGAATTCCATGTGCCAACAGTTTTAATGTGTTGTGACAATGAATCCAAATGGAAGGGAAGGGTGGTTGTGAGGAGCACCTTAACCACAGGAACATGGTTGATAGCAGACTGTCCACATCTGTCTTTAACAAGGCACATCCGAGATGTATAACAGGGTCTTGACAGCTGTTGTTAAAATTCTATCACACTTCATTCGTAAGAAACAATCACATTTTTTTCAACTATGATATATCTTCCTCTCTCTCTCTCTTAGGGTGCACCAGGCAAAAATGGAGAAAGAGGTTCACCTGGACCCCCTGGCCAACTGGTCAGTCAAATACTAAATCATCTTTTAGTATTTCCACAGTTTTCACATTCATTTTGTTAAAACCAATGGAGGTATGACCTTAGCAGCCATTCTTCTTATTTTAACAGGGAGGACCTGGAAAAGACGGTGAGCCTGGCGCACAAGGCCCCCCAGGACCCAGTGTAAGTCAACTACTCGCAGGATTATGAAAGCCGCTCAGACAAGTGCTCGCCTAGCAAGCACTGACCCGACTCGTCTTCCCCACTGTCTGTGAGTCCCATCATTGGACAGAGAGGCTCAAACTCCAGTGGGAACCTGTGCGAGTCATTTTGTGGTCGTTATTTTGTTTTAGATAGCACCATTTAAAGTGTGATGGGGGTGGGGATCAATGCCTTATCGTAATACTTTTATAATAATTTCTATTATTTTTATTGACTAGTATTGTACACTTGTAGTTTCTTAAATTCAGCATATTCAGGAACAAGAAACTGATTACAATGCAAAATGGATGCACTGATGATGGCTAAGTACGATGTGATGGCTAAATATCAGGATTGGTTCTCTTCTTCTTTTTCCAGGGTCCTTCTGGAGAAAGAGGAGAGCCAGGCGCAACAGGACCACCTGGATTCCAGGTATTTTGACATTCCTCTTTTATTGCTGTTTTAAATAAATGTGTTGAAATTGGACTTGAAAAGTTAGCGTGGGAAGTGAAAGCTTAATTATGCCTATTTAATTCCGTTCAATTATATTCTGAAGCTGGAGGCTCCAATCATTTTGTTTGTTTAGTTCATGTGATTGTTAGTAACTCTAAGTGACATTTTCTTGGGGGGAAGGATGCACATCAAATACGTTAATACATAAATTCGTGAACTCATCTTGTCTTTCCTATCAAAATAAGTAGCACTTGAGTATCACAACTCTGGAAAAGGGGTTCAGTCAGAAGAACAAACAATGCATTATACTACTAACCTTTCCCCTGCAGCTACAGACACCTTACCTGTAGCCTCTGCATTAGCTTCACTAGTCACTATATGCCAACCACCCAGAAAATAGTTATAATATACCCTTTGCCAAGGTTATCAATAGCACTACATGTGCCAAACACACTTCTAACATGGACAGGAACTCAGAACCCCTGTTTTGCATGCATAAGCTTCTTGGTTCAGCCCCTGGCATCTGCAGTGAAAGAATCTCAATTCTCAGGTAGCTGGGAAAGATCTCTGTCTAAGGTCTGGTGCCAATTACAGCAGGTAATAATTGAATTGATTGGTCTGACAATATAACCTAGCCCCCTAGCCTGGAAAAAATTAATGCAATCTCATGGGTGGGAAGAGTTAAAATATTGTATAGGACTATGCATTGAGCAGCACTTTTGCTTACCCTAGGGACTTCCTGGTCCTTCTGGATCACCTGGAGAGAACGGAAAGCCTGGAGAACCAGTAAGTTATCCTTCTTCTAAAGGTGTGTCGATAGATATCCTGTGTTACTGGGTATGAAGAACAATTTCCAGCCTCCTTCAGACATGACTGCTGCTACAGATTTTTCCCACCTGAACAGCAATTCAGAAAAGCCTGAATGGTATCCTGAATTGGCAACACGTGTTCAAGCCACAAACTGACCCTAGCAAACCTAGAACACTAAGAAAATTCCAGGTTTACTAGAGTGATTCCTGATCCTATTCCTGAGGGGAGGAGCTTCAAGAACTTTACCCAGAAAAAGAACTTCTTAAAAGCTTAGAAGGCTTTGACTTTGAATACCTAACCCTAATATACACACACATAAACAAGAATTGGCTTTTGGGAGACACCATGTTACTTATTTACCTACTTATTTTATTTCTATCCCATCCCTTTTGCCAAAATGGATCTCTCCATCACAGACATTTGCCTTTCCCTTTGATATATGCAGGTTATGGAACACCAGTGAACCCAAGGCCCACTGGCCTATCCCACAACATGGGATGTAGTTCAATATTTTGACACATATTGCTTCGACTTTATTTCACCTGCTTACCTGTCTTCCCTATGCAGATCTTTTCTCTGCCCCCATCCTTCTTTCTACCCCTCCTGAATATGCTCATAGCCCCCCACCTGATGGCTAAAGTTATGATCCAGCTATGGGTGGCAGTGATTTGCTGGATGTGGATTCAGATAGTTGGCTCATGACCTGGACAGATAAATCAGAAAAAGTGCTTGAAGATATGTTGACCAAGTATAACCCAGAACACATCTAAGTAATCTTACCTACCTACCTTTGGTTCATGACAGGGTCTAAGAGGTGAAAATGGAGCTCCAGGACTCCCAGGAACTAAGGTAAATTTTGCATCAACCATGCATGATTCTAAAAATATGATACCTGAGAGATCAAGCAAATACATGATGTGACTAAGGAGGCTGCAAAACGAAACTGTTTTATTTATATTAGGGTGAAAACGGTGTCCCAGGTGAACGAGGTGCACAAGGTCCTCCAGGTGCGCAAGGACCTAGAGGAGGAGTCGGCCCTGCTGGTCCAGAAGGTGGAAAGGTACGTCAACATGACTGAGATTTATGCATATCTGAAACTGAATTCCTGGTCTTTCTCTTCTGTTGGCATGATGTATCTTCTCAAAACTTCTTCTAGGGCCCTGCTGGTCCTCCAGGACCTCCTGGGGGCATGGGACCACCAGGTTTGCAAGGAATGCCTGGAGAGAGAGGAGGACCTGGAGGCCCTGGAATCAAGGGAGACAAGGTATGCCCTTTCAGAATTAGATAATTTGGAAAGCATTAGCTAGACATTTACTACTGGATGGGGTCTTGGTTTATTGCACAACTGCATTTCAGGTAAGAGAACTGAAAACTGTACGTACTCTTCTTTTCCTAAAAGCACTCCAAGATTTACAAAGCCTAATACGACCTTAATGTGTGGAAGTGTGGGGCCAGGTCCTCTGCCCTAAGTATAAATAAACGGAGATCGCTTCTGCTGCTGCATCAACGGGGCCATCTTCTGAATCAAAAGGAATTTGCATGGAGCTACTGATCACTCTAATTATGTTCCTATTATTGGGGCTATGTCAAAAATGGAGTTGTTCAGTAAGAGATTTGTGTGTGATTTCCATGATCGATCAGTTGCCAATTCAATCTTCCTGGTCCTCGTGACTTTTACAGCTTTTTACAAGCAACACCTGACCAGATGGATCAAGGGTCCGCCGTGCCGTAAGGCAGTTCCCTGTGGAGGAGACCATATAGGTGCCAGCTCATGGGCCTCTCCAAAGAGCAGGACCAAAGAGCGCCCTACAGCTAGGGATGGGGAGGAGGGGTTATCCAGATGAGGCATGTTCCGACAATGGCTCCCCATGACCTCTCTGAAACCAAGCAGTGGAGCGGGGGCAAAGTCTGCTGGACTGGATCTCCGGAGTTGTGAAGAGGGGCTCCTTCCCCCATCCCGACTGTGACTGCCATTGCAGTCTGTTGACCTCCATTGCCATAACTCAAAAGCCCCCATTTGGGTACAGGGAGCCATTAGTAGGCCCCAAATGGCTGTAACAAGTCTGCCTCTTCGCCCTTGCCAGGGTCAAAGGGCCAGGGGAGAGCAGTGGCACCCCTTTCGTGCCCCCACCTTCATGCCTTTTCTTGCCATAGAGCTCAAGGAAAACAATAAAACACAGTCTGGTATTCTGGCAATGGCAAGAACTCTTTCTCCTTCCCAGTAGTGTCTGTTCACCATTGCATTCCACCTATGGTGACGCAGCTAGCAGACTGCTAGTGCTTCATTGCTTTAGTCATTTCAAGGAGTAGTAGAGGCTTCTTTCTGAATTGTTGTTGCCTTTTATTTGACAGGGAGAACCGGGTGGCAGAGGTGCAGATGGCTTACCTGGCAAAGATGGACTACGAGTGAGTAGAACCTCCCCTGTCATTTGGACATGTTCACCTCATACATAACAGCATGTGTCATTTGACTCAGTCTGACAGAACTTATACTGAATTTAGAGAGCACGGGGTTTGAAGTGAACTGACTAATTCTCATTCGCGGTGGGCACATTCTCACGCGGAATTGGCTTGATTTTTCAAAACTTTCTCAGACAACTCTGAAGGGAAAAAAATCCATTAAATAAATATGTTGAGCACATGTTCTCCTGCTTGTACTCATGTTCAAAGTTGCAAATAGGGCATTATTATTTTGTGAATCCAAGAAAAATTCAAATACATCTCTACTATCAATATGACAAAAATATTCAAAACATTTTTCAATTCCAGATTTTGTATTTATTTATGTTTGGATGGATGTGCCCATGTCTTCTGTTGCTGACTATATATTTTCTACCTTTGCAGGGTCCTGTAGGATCCATTGGACCCCCTGGTCCAGCTGGCCAACCTGGTGATAAGGTACTAGTCTCCTTCCAGTACTACTGCTTTTGATATATAAATGATAACTGTTCTTATTTTAAAGAGCCAGATTCTAAGATGCATGTATACTTCTTTGTTTTAGGGAGAACCTGGTCCAGCTGGACCTCATGGCCCAACAGGTCCCCGTGGTGGTCCCGTAAGCATTCCTTTTTTTGATTATGCAACACTCAATTATTTTTCACTACTCCTAAACTTTTCTCCTCAATAAAATGTGGAGAAACCTAAGTTGGTAGAATCCAACCATCTCACAGGTTTCCAGTACTTTGTGGAAGAATATTTGATGATGGATCTGTGCTTTAATAGAGGAAATCAGGTTATATGGAAGTTGGTAGTGGGTGAATCTTAATTGGATCTTTCAATTACTAATAAATTAATTCCTTATTAGCAGAAGGGGTGGTGATGGAGGTAGTAGGGATTTTATTGAGGGGAAGCTTGTAAGCCGCCTTGGGTTCCTTGAAAGGGGGAGAAAGGCAGGCTACAAATGCAATGCAAACTAATAACTATAACTTCAATGTCTTATAAATATACAAACACTACTACTGCTCCTAAAATGTTATTTATTCCACCCTTTGTATTCCCACAAGACCCCAACATAATAAAATTATATCAGGCATAAATAATTAAATACACCAACTGCCATTCATTCATGATAAAAATATAGCTATAGAACTAAAGGAAAAATGCACATCACACAGGTCCCAGGACCAGGTTCCATCTCCAAATCCCAGGGCCCAGGTGAACCAACATGTTTTTACTTGTTGTCTAAAGCTCAGCCCCATGGGGACCAACCACAATGCCCCAGGGAGGGAATTCCACGGCTTGGGTGTCGCCGCTAGGGAGGTCCTATCTCAAATCACCACATGAAAGGGCCAGCCATGCCCACTGGCAGAACCTCAAGCTGAGCCTCTCCACCTCATCCACAAGCGCAGACTAGTCCGTACTGGGAAAGGCACCCCGGTAACGGTAATTCCTGGGCTCCTGTCTCGTCAAGGACTTTCTAGTGCAGCCTAGAACAGGGCCCAAAAGCTCACTGGCACCAAGGTAGTGCCTTCAGACTGGTGTCGCACAATCCAGTTTGACTACCACACCTAATGCTCTGGCATGAATATTCCTCCTTTCCCTTTAGTTTACAGTTGAGTGAATGTAAGGACTGTTGCGACTTTGGCATGCTACTTTGTCTTATTAAAGACCTGCCTGCTGATCACTGTTCAAGCATGTTGAGCTTCCAACTCCATCCACATCAGAAACCCATGTAACTAAAATCTACATCTTGAGCACAGTATTGTTGATTGTCAAGATCAACGGGGCTGATCAAACATCTGCAGACCCTGCACGGCATTTCAGCCAGGTGCAAGAATATGGCCGATACGCCTCTTCTATATATTGGTCCTGGAAAGAGACATTGACTGTGTGGCCCTGTAGAAAGGATTTGTTTATGATGGTGCCAAAAGAGCTTTAGAAAGAATAATTATTAGAAGACCCCCTCAGTGGGTTAATTTCACTGGTTGGCCCCTGGGAGTCATACCAAAATCTCAAGCAGGGGTGAAGGGCAGTGCCCTGCTTTTGAGCACTGAAGCAGCAAGGGGGTAAAGAGATAAGGAAGAACAAGGAGACATTCCAAGGTGGAAACAGACTCAGCAGGTAAGAAAATCAAGCAATTAACCGGAGACACATGCAGGTTGCTGTCCTTCCCTCCTCACCAGGCACGCCAATAAACAACTTAATTCGTTAGTGTGTTTATTCGCCTCATTTCTATACTGCCAACAGCCAAAGCTCTCTGGGAGGGTCATGCACATTAAAACCCAAGGACACAACCACCTCCAACCCCACAGCCAGCTGTGCTGGAAATCTAATATTTCCCAGACTTTCTTGGGGACATTAAATAGTTTAATGTTTGGCAGGAGAGAACGGGCAGGACATTTGAAAGGCAGAATATCCGAAACCTCTTCAGATAGGGGTGTGATTTTCAAGTTATCTTGGTAGGTTTTTGCTAATTCTTCACAACAGTCTTTGTAATCCGCAGGGTGAAAGAGGTGAGCAAGGCGCTCCGGGTCCTGCTGGCTTTCCTGGAGCTCCTGTAAGTATGGAGTTGTTTTTATCGATGTCTTTAAATATGAGTCTTATTTATATGTACCTTTAAAGGACAAGCTTTCCTCATCCTCGTGTAGGCTCCCACCACTAAACTTTGCATTCTAGTGTCCTCTTGTTACTTCAGAGGGGCCACTCCGAAATGTTTCAGATACGTATTTTTGGAACCCAGCTACCAACATGCTGTGGATCTTTCCTTTTCTTTCTCATCTGAGCAAAGCAAGGAGGAGATAACCAACACGCAGGAATATCCCTGCTCCTCATAGCAAGTACAGCTGCCCAGTGCTGATAGAACCACAGTCAAAACCGAAGCACCTGGAAACAAGAGGGAGCCAATCAGCATGCTTGGTGGAACCCCAAGATTTTTAAAAATACAATAATGGGGCACAATTCCCTAATATGGTCAATGGAGGACTGAGTATTCTCAGCAGCCATGAAATGTGAGAGACTGTTGAAAATGACGGGACAAGATGGGACGGGACGGGATGGGACGGGACAGGACGGCTGGTGGAGCAGCAGCCTTTCTGTAGAGTTTCTCTCTTGATTATTACTAATTTAGATGTATTTGCTTCTGCTTCTTCATCAAGAATAACCGAGCACTGCTTTTTTGTTACTTCATAATGATTTAACAGTGACAACATTCAAATGATCTGTACAATGCAACAGTCCCAATCAGTTGCTATTTTAACCAATTCTGTCCTTCCCAAACTGAAATTCTTTTACAAGTAGCAAACGGCTTAAAGGGAGTGCTGGGGCAGAGGAAGGGGAAAAAAAAGAAGGCAAAAAAGCATAGCCGTCTTCTCCAACCACCAAGCGGATGCTCATGAATTCTGGGGGTTGTAGTCCAAAATACATGGAGGGCAACAGATTGGGGAAGGATGGTCCTGGGTGAAATCAACAGGGCTATTAAAAAGGCTTATAGTCCTGCATCTGCTTGTTTGTGGTGAGTAACTGCCATGGTCTCTGCAATATAACCAGACACTGAATTTGACAGTGAATTAGATTTAGACCTCAGGTTCCTTTAAGGACCATTTCTTCCATCATCTCCAACAGCCCTAACAAAACCATGAAGGCTTATTAGGTACCTCTTGATGTTAAGAGTTACTCTGTGTGACAATGCATTTTTTGATATAGGGCCAAAATGGAGAACCTGGTGCAAAAGGAGAGAGAGGCCCTTCAGGTGAGCGAGGAGAAGCTGGACCCCCAGGGGCTGCAGGTCCATCCGGAGGCCCTGGTGCACCAGTGAGTATCCAGCGACATGTGTTTGAGTAGCCTGCTTCTGAGGCTTGATTGTCCTTCTCTGTCGTAGCTATTTTCAGTGTGGCTGATTTCAAAGGATTTCATGGCTATCTGGCCTGAATTTCTTGGGGGTCTAATGGGACGTTCTTGCTTCTGCCCTAGGGTCCAGCTGGTCCACAAGGAGGGAAGGGAGAACGTGGTGCTGCCGGACCTCCAGTAAGTACGACTTTTTCAGGCAATCTGTAGCTATTCAACAGGGATGTTGCAGGTTGCCGCTTCAGCAGAATGCACAGTCTTAGGAGTCCTAAATCACACCATGATTTATGAACAGTACCCAACATTTTCTTTCAAGAGCATCAGTAAAATAATAAAGGTACTTTAGTGTTCCTGTTCACCTGACATTCTGATTCCGCAAATCATCTTTAATGGTGTGGTTGGATCTATGAGTTGATATTTTACCTACAGTTAGACATTTCCATCGTAAAACACTAACATCTGCCCTACATGATCCAATACTGGGGAAATGTGACTATGTATTGCACAGAGTTGCTCTAGAACCTCACTCTGGATATATGAGCATGGGCCAACTAAGCGTAACATTTCATGCATCTGATGAGCTGGGCTCTAGTCCATGAAAAGTTCTGCAAAATAAACTCATTAATATTTAGGGGGGTTTTGGGACAAGACCTTTCATCGACCATGTTCTGATGTCATGGTAACCCAGAATTGGTCTTGCATCCTGGTTTGTGTGAATGAGGGTGTGGGTGCCCTGTTGCTTGATCACTCCTGCTTAGCTCCTCCTGCCAGAAGGAGTGGCTAAACAATCCAGGGACTCAACATCCATCGCTTGTTTAGTGTGGTGTCTGAACTGGGAACTATGGCTAGTTGCTCTCCTAACAAGCCAGAGTTTATAAGCCACAAATTGCTTTTCAACCTCATCCAAGAAGTTCTGATTATCTATGGCATGCAGACCAAGCCGTTACATTTCTAGCTCTTTAGAAGTGGTCTGTGAGTTTACTATTTGGTTAAGTGTTTGTTAGCAGTCACAATGATGTTTTTTTATATTTTTGGTGAAGGGTCTTCTCACATAATTGTCAAATATAGGCAGTAACTTCTGTGGTGAACAGTATTCCAGTTTCTTGAATTCTTTATTTCTGCATTTGCTTAACAAAGTTTTATGCCTTGTAAATGCGAACATTCGGTATCGTGTGTTTCAGGGCCAGGCCGGCTTTCCCGGTGGTCGTGGCTTACCTGGGCCTCCCGGCAACAGTGTAAGAATTACTCTCGTTTTGCAACCTTCGCACTGTCTCTTCAAATCCCTTTGCTCTAATCTAGAGCTTTGCTGGCCCTTCCATTGAAATGAAGGCAAAAACTCATTTGCACAGAAGCTCCATATGCACCCTGGAGGGGCGTATGGCATACTCTGGATCGTAGTTCTTGAATTACTCACTTGATTGCTCTTAATGGAGCTTTAAATATGCATTTCATGGAGGAACACTAACCTAATTCAAACTGTTGCATCTCCATCATTGATAAGGTAGCTACTTCCTAGCCTCACTTATGTCAAGGTTGTAAGAAAACAGTAACTATTTCTAGGTCTTTCTCCCCACCCACCCTCCCTCTAAAAGCCCTTCCTGCCTGCTAATTAGTAGCAGTAGTCTTCGCCAAGTCCTTCACCCACAATTCATAAGAAGGCCAAACCTTAACTGAGTGCTCCATGTTGTCCAGAAATTATTTCCATTATGTCAGAGGAACTGTAAAATCATAGAGCTAGAAAGATCATTGGAGGCTTTGCACTGGAACCTCCTCAGTGCAGGACTTGTAATCTTTAATATCCCTGACAGAAGTCTAAACATGAATCCCTGAAGCAAGGAATCAATCCACTTTGGAAAATAAGACTCTGTTCTTCCTGAATCTCTACTGATAGTCTGTTTATCCTAATTCTTCTTCCTTGTATCTGTTCAGCCCTCTAATATGTTTACAGAATACAACCATATATTCTTTTGGTGGGATGTAGGGAATGGCCAAAGAAGAGTCACCTTTTCTTTGCATTTCGTCTCTTCCTACCCCATCTCACCCTGTTCCATCCCATTTTGTTTTGTTTTGTTTTGTTTTGTTTTGTTTTGTTTTGTTTTTTCTCCTCTCCTCTCCTCTCCTCTCCTCTCCTCTCCTCTTCATTTCTGGTTTACATGATCAATTCTCCATTCTTTCGGTATTCTGATAATGTTGATTCAAATCCTGTATTCAATCATTGCTTTTCATTTGTGATTTCTAGGGTAGCCCTGGGCTACCTGGTAATGCAGGGCCCCCGGGCAAGGATGGCCCACCAGGTCCAGCTGGTTCCACTGGGCCCGCCGGTAGCCCAGGTTCTGCAGGTCCAAAAGGTGAGCCTGGCCAGCCAGGTGAAAAAGGTCCAGCAGGTCCACGGGGAGAAGCGGTATGTACACTATTTGAGAGTTCTACTTTTAAAAGAAGGACCAGTAAATAGTCAGTGACAATTACGCTTGTCCTGTCATTTCTTCCTTCTGATACTTAAAAACTGCAAATGAACTGAGTACAGTAACCTACATTATCTATATCATTGAGAGCCACTGTGGTGCAGTGGTTCAGGGTGCAGGACTGGGACTCGGGTGATCTGGGTTCTAATCCCTGCTCTGCCATGGGGCCAACGGGGTGACTTTGGGCAGACACAGACTCTCAGCCCAGCCTACCTCACAGGGTTGTTGTTGTGGGGATAAGATGGGATATAGGAGGAACTCAAGTCTCCTTGAGTTCCCTGAAAGGAAAAAAAGGTGAGATATAAATATGGTAGATAAATAAATATATAGAAATGCAATAGTCTTGGTAGTTCTTCTTTTGAATAATAGCATCACTTTATATCAAAAAATGCTTCCAAATCCTACTTTTACTGCAGATGAATTCTAAGAGACTTTCAGGTGATATTTCATGTAATGTTATGCCCTCTTTTATTTAAGTTCCAGACATAATTTCTGGAGTTTGAACCCTCATTTGCAGGCTAAGCCTCAAACTATAGTTTATCAGTTCATATAAAAAGGTGAACTATGATTTGCTTCAAACCAGGCAAAGGGAGAAACCTTCCGTACACCTTCGAGGAGAAGGAATATGGAAACTCAGTGGTTTTGCCCAGCACATCCACATGGCAAGAAGCCGTGGTTTGCACTCTGTCTGAACTGTCCCTTTTTCTTTAAGCTCTTTTTAAAATGAACTTAGGGCAGATAAAGACGTGTGGTACTCTTCTCATTCTTTGTCTGGCCCAAATATACCTTACAAAATATTTATCTAAGAGAACGATACAACCTGAAACATGCCAAATGTATTCTCTGCTTTGCACTGAATATGTTCAGCTCAGCTGAAGTTGTTCTACAAATACGCTTTTCTGTTTCTCTAGACTACCTAACACCTCTGTTTCAAAGCCTTTTCATAAGTCTGTCACTAAATGTTTATTGTCCTGGACTGATTTATCTCCCATAGGGTATGCCAGGTCCATCAGGAATTTTGGGGCCGTCTGGACCACGTGGTCCTGTGGGATTGCCAGGCATGAGAGGTGGATCAGGCTCCCCTGGTCCAGCTGGTCCAAAGGTGAGACATTACTCCACTATTTGAATCATTGTAAGCAGTGCTTTTTTTGTAAGAAAAAAGGTGTCGAAACTCCTGAAATTATTTACCTTTCGCACGTAGTCAATCACTGTACACACACCCACACACGTCAGTTGTGTAACGAAACATAATGGTCACCGCCCGCAGTAAGCACTCAGTGCGCGACCACACAACCAATCACAAGCTGAGCAGCGCCACAAGCCGAGCAGCACCATCACAACCAGCGCGGACGAAGCACGCATGCATCGGACTCGACACACAAGCAGCCCGCATGCACCGTTTTAATGATTTTGCCGCCGACCTGCTACGCTCGACAGGACAATTCAAATCCACGTGGACCAAACATCAAATTTTCAACAGTTACTTTTAAAACTTGGAAAATCTGTTGAAAAAAGGTGCCAGAACTCTGTTCCGGTGCTTTCTATGACAAAAAAAGCACTGATTGTAAGTATCTAACAGAACAAAGGCTTTGCCAAAAGCACGAGTTCTTCAACAGCAGGGACCTGAGCACTGTTTTTCAGGTGGATGATGATGATAAACTTTTTTTAAGTAAATTTTATTATTATTTTCTACAAACTAAAAAAAAAGAAACTAAAAAACATCATTCATCAGATACATCAGACCTGCTGGGTCAGCCCCCTACATTTTTTTTTATAGCAATCCATAGACATATTCAAATCTATGCATAGTCCCGTTTCTCTAACCAATAATAAAAAGAGTTTCAAGTCTGATAGAAGTATGTATCCTCTTTCTCCTTCAGAGACAAAGTCAGCCTGTCCATTTCAGCGCAATCCAGGATCTTTTTTTAAAATCAGTTCATCGGTGGGTGGTTCTTCACTCCTTCAGTGTCAGGCAAATACAATCCTTGCCTCAGTAATTACATGTAGAATCAGATACGTTGCTTGTTTGTCAACAGATGATGGTGATCTTTGATAGCAGGGCAGTAGCAGCACTCTCCCTTTTCTCAAGTCTTGTCACCAGCACAGATAGCAAAGGAGGACAAGCAGCGGTGGGAGCTGCAAGGGCAGAAGTGCCCCACACCTCGTTTCACTGACAAAATTGCCTCTATCAGCAGTATAACCATGTTGGACTCAACCCTTTGTTTGCGAGCTTAATTCATGGTCTGCAAAAATTAAGGATTTAATGAAAGATGAGTATATGGTTTCTTCAGCTCTTAGCAGCTGTATTTCAGGATTCTCTGAGAGCTGCTAATTAAAATAGGCAGGATCTTCAGAAAACCTCTTATTGAGTCAACCAGCAAGAATGGAAATGAAATAGAATTTGAACATAGCTTTGCTACATAAAGGTATCTTCTGATTAGATGGATAGAGGTGGGCTGCTCATGATTCAGAAGGATTTTTTAAAAATGAGTTAATTTAAACCCATCCATTTCTTCTTCCTACACAGGGTGAAGATGGCAAACCAGGTTCCAATGGTAGCCCAGGAGAACGAGGCTCCCCAGGTCCACAGGGTCCTCCAGGAATTAATGGAGCGGCTGGAGAACCAGGCAGAGATGTAAGCAACATGGGTCCTCTTAGCTGCGCCCAGAAAGAAGCACTCACTGTGCTCAAAAGAGCCGCACTATGCTGTACTCACTAAATGAGAAAAAATGATCATGTTTCGATATCCTGAAATGGAAGAAAGAAGGTTTAAATCTTCTTCTCCTGATGTAGTCATCCCAGTCCAGATCGTGGTCATATGGACTTAGTCTAGAATAAAAAGCAAAAGGAAAATTATCTTCAGCTATGTGCTGTTTAGTGAATGCAACATGTAGTTTGACTCCATGAAAGTGCTATGTGGTCGCAGCTGTGATAGCCCTTTCACACACACAAATCATCTCTCGATGCTGCATTCCACTTGATGAATGTGTGGATGTGAAGCAGGGTGCAATGAATGAGTCATGTTATAAATACAGTCACAAGATCTTTGAGAAGGGCAACAAAAATAATTCAAGGTTTTGGAAACATTGCCCTATGAGGAGAAACTGAGACAACTGGGCATGTTCAGCCTTGAGAAGAGAAGACTGAGCGGGGACATGATAGTACTCTATAAGTACCTCAAAGGCTGTCACAGAGAGGAAGGTCAAGATCTCTTCTTGCTGATGCAAGACACGGAATAATCAAGTGAAGTTGCAACAACCCAGAGTTAGGCTGGACATCAGGAAAAGCTTCCTCACTGTCAGAGCAATACAGCAGTGGAACCAGCTGCCTAGGGAACTGGTGGGCTCTTCCACACTGGAGGCATTCATAAAGAAACTGGACAGCCATCTGGGTGGGATAGTGTGACGTGGTGTCCTGCAAGAACAGAGGGTTAGACTTGATGGCCTTCAAGGCTCCTTCCAACTCTACTATTCTATGATCCTATGAGAAATCCTTTTGACTTCAAGTGAGTTAAACTTAAGATAGGAAAAACATGTGCAAGATAAAAATGCAAAGTCTAGGTGTTTGGGTGAAAAGTTTAGGTGTTTAAATTGGTTATGTTAATGTTCCCTCCATAACTTTGATACTTATACCTATCCGTTATCCTGTCTGTCTTAGGGTAACCCTGGATCTGATGGTTTGCCAGGTCGTGATGGATCTCCAGGGCCAAAGGTGAGAAGCTGTCAGCACAGTTTGTGTACGTGGTATAATGATAATGATTAAGGTTGCTAACTATTGCTAGGCCCTAACTGTAGGGATTGGACCCACCTCTGCCAGAATACAACATTCCAAGGGGGATATTTCAGTCTCTGAATGTGAACTGGAAGAGGAGTTGGGTTGGAATGCTTAGCTGGAAAGCCAAGGTTAATGGGTGGTGAGATGAGCCAAGAGACTGGTAAGAACCAGGCCACTTCTAGTTCAGGGTGAGACACTGTGGAACAGGGAAGGTCGCAGGAGGAGCGGCGTGTCTTTTGCAGCCCCATAGACCAACACCAAGTCAAATGAGCAGGCCAATTCAGTCTGATCCACAAGGAGCATGAATCTCCCCAGTCGTGCAGCCAATTCTGTTTGGTGGGGAAGAAAGGAGGGAAACTCAGTTTGTAAGAAACCCTTGATATGGGAAAGAACTAAGTCCACAGTTAGAGGCACTCAGTGGAGGCCTCTTGCTGACAGTCTTTGCAGTACTGATTCTGTATTGCAGAGCCAGTCCTGGCTGGCCAGCTTTGATACCAATTGTCGTTCGAAGCCTGTCATTGTGATCTGCTGGGGAGAAAAGGAGAGAGGTTGGAAATGAGGATGTGAGCCACAACAAGAATCAGTATCACAGCACGTCAGTGGTTCATGGGCAAGTCATTGACTGTATGGATATATTCTTCACATGGTCTGTAATGTTCTCCTCCTCAGGGTGATCGTGGTGAAGGTGGTTCTCCAGGTTTGCCAGGGGCTCCAGGTCATGTTGGTCCCCCAGGTGGTCCCGGTCCTGCTGGAAAAGCAGGTGATAGAGGACATCCTGTAAGTGTGAAAGCCATCTTGGATGCCCTGTTTACCCTCTATCATCCCCATGTGTTATTCATCTTTGTGTGATACTATAAATGTTTATTTTTACAAGGAAAACCTGACATCCATTTCTTGTTTTGCTTACAGGGCCCTGCTGGTCCAGCCGGCCCTGCTGGACCTGCTGGAATTCGTGGAGGTCCCGTAAGTCTACACTTCCAAATTTCAGCTCTTTAGATGTTACCGATCCTCTTGGACCTAACATGCATCTGAAAAATCTTTTCTAAAGGGTCCTGCTGGTCCTCGTGGTGATAAAGGTGAAACTGGCGAACGTGGTGCCAATGGCATGAAGGGTCATCGAGGATTTCCTGGCAGCCCAGGGCCTGCTGGTCCAACGGTAAGTTTCTGGAACTATATTGCTTTTGTAGAAGGTAAATAATGTTTATTTCTGCATGTTCCAAGAGATAAGCATAAATAACTCGGACAAGTTAAAGGAATACAGTTTGTGTATTACATGGCTGAATTTTTCCCCCTCTTGCCCCATTTTTATCTTAAAATTGCATTGATTTGCCAAGAAGTTGGCATTTTGGAATTTCTTGTCTGGGTTCTTGGTTGTCAATTAAGTTTCCCAAGAGGAAGACATCTGGCCATATTACTTTAGAATGTCATTGCTTCAATTGTGAAGGTGTAAAAGTAGCTATTTTGTCATCACTCCAAATCCTGGGAAGCAATGCACAAAAGGAGCTTCTTGCTGCATGCAATATTTGATTTTGCTGCCAGAAGAAATCAACAGTGGTACCAGTTCAGAAAATGGGGTCCTTCGGTTCCTTTGAAATGAGCCCCACAAGTTCATCACAGCAAATCCAGGTCCTTTTAATTTCAAGAGGACTTAAGAGCAACTAGCTTTCTGTGATCAACAACAACAAGATAAAATAGAAAGGCGCTCAGTCCTTATAACCCATGAGGCCCTTGGTAAAATCTATAGAAATGTAAGCATTCAAGTCCTGCTAAACTGAAAGGTATTTGAGAGCATTTAGATCTCTTACTACAGAAATCTGAGGACCACATTATTTATATCTGGCTTTGCCAGGACAGTCCTCAGTGGAGCACCAAGGAGAATTTTGAGTCTCACTTCCCTTGCATGTGGATCTTTGTGTTCCTCATAACCACCTAAAGCAAACACTACAACTTCCCTCTTAATAATGAGGCTCAAAGAGCAACAAATCTAAAATGTGCTCAGCTGGACTAATGAAAGTAATGGAGTGCTCCCAGTGGCCACAGACAAGTATGTCCAGGTGATGCAGCTGAACAGCCTGTTGAAATGGTTGTTGTTGGTATTAGAGATGGCTGAAAGTCAGGCTGTGTGAGGAATGCAAAAAGCAGGTGGAAATCTGGTGATCATGAGTTCTCCCTTCCCCGGATTATGATTTGTTATCTCTGCACTGACACAGATTTGCTATGCCATGAGTTGACCCAATCTCACACAATTTCAATCTCACACAATTTGTGAAACATGGCTTGTTTTGCACAAATCATATTTTTCACAAATGATGATTTACATAAATTGACTGAGTTTGCACAAATTGCACTGAAGCCATGTGTTCTTTGGATGTTTATTTATGCAAATACCACTTATGATTAGAAATCATGCACAGATCATGATCAGCCTTAGAGACAGAAAAAAACCCAACTGGACAGTTTCCAGTCATTAGATTGGAACTGGCTTTCCCTGTTTCAGTGGATTCCTAGGAGAGACAGTAACTTGCCAAAGGCCAATGAGTTGCTACAGAGGTAAGATCTGAACCCGGTATTTCCTGATTCAAAGCACAGCCTCTTAACCACTACAATACCAATTCAACATTCTGTTTCAGTGATGATCCTGGGAAGACTATAAACAGGCACTTTTTGCTAGTCTCAGTCCTCGTAGCTATTCTGTCTCTGGAACTAGAAGTTCCACTTTCCTGGCACAGCTCATTGCTATTGATATACAGCCATTCTCTTTACGAAAATGTCTTTGTGTGAACCTAAGTTCTTCATTTATCTGATTTTTGCCTAGCTTTTCATCAAGAAATGGTGCTTTGAACAGCTTGTGGTTGTCACCACCCCTTGTAGCGAGTGCCACAAAGAGTCGACGATCAAATCTGGATTAATTTACCTCTGTTTCTCATTGTTATCTAACAGGGTTCAGCGGGTCCCCCAGGTCCCACTGGAAGCCCAGGACCTTCAGGTGCTAGAGTAAGTAACTTCCCTTTTCAGTGTCCACTGGATGCATCCTTAAATTCTGGCTGGATCTCTGAGAGAGAGCGAATGGACCCCAACCTCCTCTTATTTCATATCAGTGCTTCACAGTACATGAACACTGTAGATAACAACTGATTTCTTGTGCGATTTAGGGCCCCCCTGGACCTAGTGGTCCACCTGGAAAAGATGGCACATCTGGCTACGCTGGCCCCATTGGTCCTCCAGGTCCTCGTGGGAGCAGAGGTGAATCTGGACCTGCGGTAAGAGAAGTAGCACTGTATGGGACAATGGAAAGAGTCCGCTCTTAAGCTCCCTTCACAAGGAACATAATCTTGAAACCACTAATCCTTCAATCAGGGAACTTGGTGCAAGGCATGTGGAGCAAAGCCCTCTTCATATGGAAACAAGACCCACTCTATTTGAATGCGCATCTCCTTTGTGTGCCCCTCTGAACGGACTGTTTTGCTTGTTTGCTTTCGCAGGGCCCACCCGGCCATTCTGGCGCTCCAGGACCTCCTGGCCCACCTGGACTTCCTGGTCCATGTTGTGATGGTGGTACTGGTATTTCTGGTCTGGAAAAAGGCCCAACCTACTACCGAGATCAGCCATCAGAAGACAAAATTGCATTAAGTGATGTTCTAACTTCACTGAAATCCATCAATAACCAGATTGAAAACATTATCAGCCCTGATGGTTCACGGAAGAATCCCGCCCGCAATTGCAGAGATCTGAAGTTTTGCCATCCTGAACTTAAGAGTGGTATGTTCTCTTCTCTTCTGGGGGGTCCTCAAGAGACTTACCATCGTGGGGCGATGCAAGAGACTCAACACAGCCACTGCTCCCTGTCCCTTTCCTCGCTCCTTCTCATCACAGTGAACGTTACCATGTGTGATGTGCCTTCACATGTGTGATGTGTGAGGGCACCAGACATGAGCAGAAAGCAGGGAGAAGGAAGCTCAGTGCAATGGCTGGTGCCCTCACTCATGGGTAGGCAAGCTAGGGTGCACTAGAGATTTTGGGCTACACCTCCCATGAGCCGCCCCCCATCCTCACCTATGTTCAAGGATTGTGGGGTTCAAAGCAGCTGCAAGGTCACCAACCCCTGATCCAGCTGATGCAATGTAATGTTGTTTGTATGGTTGCTTGCTTTGATCTGTTAGCTACCCAGAGCACCATTTTGTTTGCTGCAAGCCATATATAACTCAAACACCATAATTATAGTAATACTTCATCCACATTTTGGATATGACTGGGATTTTTTTCATCGACCCCTTCAAAGAAATGGCATTTCTTTTTTTTTAAAAAAAAGCATAATGGTTATGGGGTGAACCAGGAGCAGCAAGTGAAGCTATATAAAAAGTTCCTTCCCATCAACAAACTTGAATTTTCCTTGAGCGTTGAATGTACGACACGGAAAAAGATTTGCAGCATCCCCTCGTATAACTTCACACCTCCTTAAGCACTGGGCCCCACTGTGATTGCCAAGTACAAATTGGCAGAGGCATTAGGACTGGTCTACAACCTTTTCATTTTATTGAAACCACTGAAGTTTTGAGCCTACTTTGTCCAAGCCACACGTAGGAAAGCGACTTGCTTCCCGACCTCTCCACCCCTTGTGGCTTACTCATCTTGCTCGGTCGCAATGAGACAAGAACCCAAGGGACTGAATTCCTAAATTATGTAATTGGCTGTTTAAAAATAGAAAGGAAAGGAAGGAAAAGGTGAGGCAGGGGGATCAGCCATCTGTCAGATCATGTGCCGACTCAACATGCCCGGTTACCCAAATGTTCACTACTTAGAGCCCGTGGCACAGGAAGCTGCGACAGATACAGCGAAGGGTTGCAGGGGTCCACCTACACAGGACCATACAAATACGTTTGCACGATGTCTTTGTAGGAGAGTATTGGATCGATCCTAACCAAGGTTGCAAGTTGGATGCTATTAAAGTGTTCTGCAACATGGACACTGGGGAGACATGCATCCGTGCCAATCCCAACACTATTCCCCGGAAGAACTGGTGGATCAGCCCAGGACCTGAAAAGAAACACGTGTGGTTTGCAGAGTCTATGAGCGGAGGTTTCCAGGTATACCATTCAAATAAGTAACTTGGGCAATTTTGTTTGCAATGTTGAGTTTCTTCTCAATTGCATGTTTGCAATTGAGATATCTATATATCTATTTCTATATTATTCCTCAAAATATTCAGCTTGGTAGACAAAAGGGGAGGATGGAAACAATTGTGTAAAGCGGCAACCGACCCTTTTGTGTTCATATCACAGTTCAGTTACAGCGATCCAGACCTTCCGGAAGAAGTTGCAGATGTCCAGTTGGCCTTCCTTCGAATTCTCTCTAGTCGAGCCTCTCAGAACATCACCTATCACTGCAAAAACAGCATTGCCTACATGGATGAGGCCAGCGGGAATGTGAAGAGAGCACTTAAGCTGATGAGTTCGACTGACAGTGAAATCAAGGCAGAAGGAAGCAACAAAATCACATACACTGTTCTGGAAGATGGTTGTACTGTAAGTAAATGCAAGCCCAGCACTGTGCTTTTTTAAAAAAGAAAATGGGGTTCTGTACACTTGGCCAATATATTTCCCACACCCATGAACACACACACACACACACACACACACCTACCTTAACTGTGTGCATTTTGAAATAGCCTTACTGAAGTAGCTATCTCCATACTAGTTCAGTGAATGTGTGTGTCCTGACTTTTACCCATGTGCTGTTTGTGAACTTTCTGTCCTGTCCTATGGCAGAATGGTGGATCAGGTAACACCAAGTATTACGGGCCAATCAAATGCGATTAGTTGCAGCCAGGTCTCATTGAAATAGGTGTAATAAGTTATGCACATTATCCGGCTTCAGTTCCACTGAAATGAATGGGATGAAAGTGCCCTTTCCTTGGGGCTTTCGACCAAGGATGTGCCTCCCATGAAGGGAGCAGACCTTCTGCCTTTGGCCCTCCCCACCCCTTCCATCAAGGTTCACCCCATTCAGCAGGATCTCCCAGCTTTCTGGCAGCATTTACAGGGGAGCAACTGCTGTGGGAAGCAGAAGGTTGGAATGTGCCGATCTGGCAGCAGCCTGGATCCAACCCCTCCTGGTCTCAATCCAACCCATAGGATCTGATGTTGCAAAGGTGTTTTCACATCCCCCTTGCAGACTTGTAGGAGCAAAACGCAAGAGTCAGACACAACAGTGCAAGTTCCATTTCTACTACAGTACTTGCAGGAAGTACTACGAGGGAGGCAGGAATTTTGAGCAGAGTTTCCATGGATAGAACTGTAGGCAAATATTCCATCCCTTCTACAGGCTGAAAGCCTGTGACGAGCAAGCTCCTCACCGCCTATGCCACAGCTAGTTGCTCCACCTAAGCCCTCTCCAGCGGCTCCTTGGCCTGCTTAGGGGAGGGGCCATGCCCCACCAGTGTGTTGTCTGCAGAGGGTGTGGAGGACTAGAAAAGCTGTTCTCTGAAGTCCGGAAGAGCCACTGCCAATCAGTGTTGCAAACATTAAATATAACCATTCTGTGGTCCAGTAGAAGGCGGTTTCCTACGTTCCTCCTACCTTGTAGCTACTGTTGCTCCAGGGTGCACCAAATGTAATGTCCACCACTGGTCAGGTGCATTTCCATAGAACTTCAGAAAGAAATCCTCAAAGTATGGGATGACTCAAACTTAAGACTGCAGAAGTTGAAAAGTGGGAGAAATCAAAGCTGGAGAGGATATCCAGTGTTATCTTGGACAGGAAGGATGCCTACTTCAGCCATTCCCTAGCCATGATGAGAAGACCCATGGGTGACCTAGGGTTCCACTTCCCCAGAACATCAGGTCTACTGCACCCAGTGCTCCTAATGTGATGGCAGATTGAGGGATGTGAAAGGTGCACTGAATGTCAGCCCTCATGAATGCTCAGGTGGTATTCAAGGGTTTTGGGGGTGTGAGCAAGCATCTTACACAAATTAGCAAAGGAAGACCTTCCTTAAATACAAGGGACCTCTTCTGGACTGTAAGGAGAGCCCTGATGGATCAAACCAAAGGTCTGCCTATTCACACAGTGGCCCATCAGCTGCCTGCAGGAAACGCACAAGCAGCAGCACCTTCCCCAATGGTTTTTTCACCTTTTCTTCCCTTCCCTTCACATAACTTGGAAAGGTGGAGAGGAGAATTAGGACAAGACCCCAGAGCTTCCTCTCTCTCCACTGAAGTGTCCGTAGTGACTTCCTCGGGATGTGATCTGACATTTCTCTGACAGGAGTCTTCTCACAGTCCTTTTTCTTTCTGCATTTCACAGAAACACACTAACGAATGGGGCAGAACAGTCTTCGAGTACAGAACACGCAAGCCAATGAGGTTGCCTGTGATAGATATTGCACCATTTGATATCGGCGCGCCCAATCAGGAATTCGGTGTGGACCTTGGCCCAGTTTGCTTCTTGTAAGCCAAGAATAACGCTCATTCTGAAGCCCAGCAAATGAATTCACACCCCATCTTTGCTCTTGTTTTAACCTTGTCAACAATTCGAGCCCAATCAACTGTGTCCCAGTTATTTATTTGCAAAAATTCTGGAGAGAGAGGAAGGAAAAAAGAGATAAATTGACATAAACGGTTACCATTTTCCTATTTCACTCGTACACAAATACAACAAAACACCTTTTGCTCTATTTTCTTTCACCAAAATCCCAAGTTCCATCAATATCTCCATGGTGCTACCTTACAACCTCAACACTAAGTACAACGAAACTGTTCAATTTTAGTCGAATACTTGCCCACCGATCAAGCACTGACGAATTCAAGCATCCAAGTTTACCTTCCACAATAAGATGCAGTTCATAAAGCTAGAAAGCGTTCCCTGTTTCAACTACCTCAGCATGGACAGAAACTGGGATGAGTTTGAGGATTCACACCGAGAAAGCCAAATTGAAATACGTTGGAACCGGTGAATACATCTGGTCAGATATTTGCTGTTGTTTTGTTTCGTTTCTGTACTGTGATTTGTGGTGAACAGAAAACAGTCCATCAGAAGCAGCAAATACCCTGGTGCCAACAGGACTAAAATCCATTTATGGCTGGACTGCATTGCATTTTTAAGGGTGCTCCTATACTTTCCTGTCATTGCTGGTCAAGACCACTAAAATTAGGGAAGTGTAAAAAGATTAATGTGATGGTGCTAGTTGTGTATGTTTCACTTCTAAAACTGCAAGCCAGATTTATTGACTTGCGTTCAAACATCAAGGCTTGACAACAATTGTAAATGTCTCTCATCGAAAGTCGTACCGTTGGTAGGCTGTTTCTGAGGGCGTTTCTTCCTTCACTCTGTAAAAGTCAATCAAGATGCTGAATCATGAGTTTCTTTTGTCACATTAACACATTTATAGTGTTGGAGGTTAACCATCTTTGTAAGCTTTTATATGGTTGTTGGTCTTTTCCTTACAGAGACACATAATAAAATATTGTAATAAAACTCTGGACTATCATTGATCTGTTTTACTATCCATATCCCTTTCCAGGGTTTCATGAACAAAGAAGACTTTCTAAAGGATTTATAATGTGCTGTTTGTTTGTTTATTTAGAAGAATGGAAGCGATTTATTTCTGCAGTGCCATCCACAAAAATGGGGCTTTACAGAGTAACATAGTCGAAGTCCTTCCATAAGGAGCTCGTCTCAATTTTGACAGTGGCGGGAAACGGACAAGGAAGAGGGGGAAAGATAGCATGGAATGAAGGTGTAAAAATGCAGTTAAAGTCACCGTCCTGTTTGTGTGCCTGTAATCTTCTGCACTTGAAAGGTTACAGGCATCCGCTCAACTGCAAGAGGAATGCAGGAGCAAAACATTTAGAAAGCTGATTTCAGGCATCTTTATGTTTTCATTCTCCTTATGAGGAGGGCCTAAAGCACTGCCTGGATTTGCTGAAAGCGGACAAGTCTTGCCCCTGTCCCCCACAGTGTGCCCCAATGTCATAGTCTCCTAGTTTTAAAAAAATCCTGAAACTAATCATGCACCTCTAATTTAATTTCAGGTTAAAATTAATAGAACTTCAGGGTAAGGACAACAAATACATGCAAAAGTGGAGTGAGCTGAAGAACGGATTGATCATTTTTCTTGAAAAACTGTTGTCATTCTTGAATGCTAAAACGCACCAGTGGTGTGATTTTCTCTACAATGTGTGTGGAGCCAGAGGATTCTGGGAAGGCCTGGCCAACTTTAATGCAGCCTCAACAACCACCTGTTCTTGCAGGTCCCGCCCTGCTTGACCAGTGCTCTTAAAGGGGCAACTGCGGTGAGAGAACTAGAGGGCCAGTCTTGTCAGGCATCCCAGAGTCTTCAGGCCATGGAATGGACAGAAGAAGACCTTGAAGACTCGGTGATGGGAGATTGGGAAGCTCAGGGAGAGGCAGAGCCCTGTCGCTGCCCATAGGTTTCCAGGCCAACCAGGAGAACAGACATGCTTTGGAAGAGACAGGAGGGGTCCAAGAAGGGGAGGAGGGAGAGCCATTGCTTTGCCCGGTCACTGGCCCCTGACAAGCCGTCAGGAGAGCCAAGCTGCCCAGTTAGAAGGTTTGCATTGGTCCAGCCAGCTGGCCCTTCACCAGCAGAAGCCACCCTGAGGGTCAAGCCCACAACATTACTGAAAGGGAAGAATTTGGAGGGGGGGAGTTCCCAATTTGGGTTCAGCCCTACTCTTGACATGAGCAGAGGCCTATCTTTCAGCTGACTAGTGGGCTTTCTGAGGTACTTTGTCTCGTTACCAGGAAGTGCCAGTAAAGATCTGCATTGCAAGGAGACTGCCTGGTATCTTGGAGCTAAGGGAAAGAAGGGATGGGCTACGAGTTCATGACAGCAACAGCCCTTTCCCCCAGGCAGACAAAGAAGAGCACTTTGAAAGGCCCGACCTGGTCCAACCCACACCTTCAAAAGGCAACCCTTCCCTGCAAGGAGAAAACAGACCCTCACCTACCCAGCGCAACTGGTGCCATTACTCTCCCATTGCACTGAGGCAGGATGAGCCAAGCACAGTGTGGTTGTCTCCTTTCCCTTCTGCCTCCACTGCTTGTCTGCCCTCCCTCTGAGCATCGGCTTCCAGGATACGGCAGCACCCTGGAGTGGATGAGGCAGGTTCTTAAGCCTTCCCTCTGCTGGACTAAACGCCTCTCCCCATCTCCTTCCCTCGCACACAGAGACGCATATGCAGGCATGATGTCTGCACGAGGGTGAAAGTCTCTCAGATTACCCCAAGTCACAGGGGAAGTCAGTGAGGAAGAAATCCTATCCTGTAGCAAGACGGAAGGGCAACCTGCAATGGTCCAGGAAGCAGGTGCCAGGAGAGAAGACAGAGGATCTGGATCAGGGCGAAGAACCCAAGTGTGAGGGCCAGGCCGTGGCCAGCAGCAGGGAAGGGCAGAATGCCGGGCACTGGGCATGAGCTCAAGCCGAATCCAGCGCTTACTATGGGCCAGAAGCAAGGGGCAAGTCAGCAGGTCCAGGTCAAAGACACAAAGTGCAATTTTGCATGCAGAGAGAGAGAGAGCGAGAGCGCAGCCAGTTTATGGGAGAGACATTGCTGCAAGGGCTGTAGCAAGCTGCAGCAAGGCAGAGTCTACTTGAAGGAAAGATGGAAAGAGCAGAGGAGGCACAGGCTGGAGTGAGGCAGGAACAAACTGGAACAAGGGGCATGAACTGGAGCAGGGCAGGAACGAACTGGTGCAAGGCTTAGCAAAGCAGGAACCAGAGCAGAAGGAGCCACCAGGGAAACTTTTTGTGCTGGTCTCCAGGTCTCCAGCTGCACTGTGTGATCGCTTCATAGGTGCTCCTTGCAAGTGCCGGCAAAGGTGCTCCTGGTCCTGCAAGCGCTGGCAGGGTCACTCAGGTCTTGATTCTGGCACCAAGGCAATGCAGAGTCTGAGGTCCAAGAGCAAAGTCCCAAAGTCCAAGGCATAGTCACAAACGGGCCAAGATCAGGAGCCAGAAGTCTATATCAAGGCAAGGCTCCATGCTCATGAACAAGCCAGTGGCTGAAAGCTGGGAAGAGGACAAGAGCAGAGAGCAGGTACCTGAGGCAGGATAACTAGGCAGGGTTCAGGAGCAGTGAAAGCGTGGCAAGCAAGCGAGGCAGCGAGGCAGGACATGCCAAGGCACACCAGGATACAACATGGCAAGGCACTAGAGCAAACTGGAAGACCTGGTTGCTGAGGCCAGTTCTGGAGAGAAGAGCTTGTTCTTCTATAGCTCATCCCTCAGGGCTTCCAGCTGAAGCTCATCAGGAGGCGGAGTATTTGATCCTTTGATTACTACAGTGGGAGTTCTGGTTCTGACCACCAGATGGAGCCCCGGAGCAGCCCAGATCTTGACAGAACCCCTCTGAAAATTTCACATGGAGTGAGAGGCTTTTGTAGAGAAGAGAACAATGACTTGGAGCTGTGTGCTTCTCCCTTTTAACAAGCTGCAGAAAGAGAGAGGCAAAGAAGTGAGTAGCAGAAAGTGAGTGGTACCCTGTGCCCTGCCGTATGTGACGAACCTGGCAGGTGATCACAGATGAAATGTGGCCCTTGGAAGAAAAGGTTCCCCACCTGCGTGTGATGGTCCAGAGCTACAGCCTGGAGATCATTCTGCAGCATGCGTGTCACAGGACGCATGGCGCCTTCGTGGCCTTGACCAGCGCACTAGTCTCAGCTGTGGCACTGTGCCACTCCAGCCCGATCCTGTGACACTGCACTGGCATCTATTGCTAGCACCAGCCTACCCTCTCCCCCAGGGTGTGTGCAGGGACGCTTCATAGTTATTGCCATTGTGCTAGATTTGTATTTCCAACTTCAGCCAACTCGAGGTAAACCAGCAAAATACCAGCTTGAGGTGTACCAGTCACAGTTCCCAGCAGCCCAGTCAATGGGCAATGGGCGTGTTGGGAAATGCAGTTGAAGAAATATGGAATAAACCAGGCTGGGGAAGACAGTACTAAATGTCTGAGCAGCGCGTTCAGTAACTTGACTGTGTGAGCTGGGGAGCAAGTTTCTGGAAACATTCTCACAAATGCACACCTGTAGCGGTGCTGGTAACATTAATTCAACACACACATAAACACATAAGTAAGGACAGGAATCATGATTCACCCTGATTTGGCTATGTGAGGATGACTGAACCCAAATCAGAATGGGGGCACCCTGTCCTGTTCCCGCTCTCACATCCTATGGGTTAAAAAATTGTGCCTGGAAGCCATGTGGGGCATGTTGGAGCTTTCTTGGAATACTTTCCAACTCCAAAGTCTTCCTTTCAAATAAATTTGCCAGTGAAGTCCATCCATGCAGTAAGGTAAATTAAACATTATTATGAGGACATTTTATGTGGAAAACTTACCATGGGATGCCAGCAGAAAATATCCTTCAGGAATATTATATGCTTGATCTAACTAGTGCTGGACAAATCTGTCAATTTCAGTTTCTCTCAGTTTTCCAGTATAATGTTCAATTCACACCTAACTTTGAGAATTGTCTTAAGTCAGTTTATTCCAATTTTTTTCAAGAATTCACATGAACATGCAAGTGCATTTTTGCACACATTCCCCTTAACAGATGGATTTGTACATTTTTTTTCTAATACGAACACCCTTTGTGATGTGAGCAGTTCCCAGAGCTGGTATTTTGCTGGTATACATGTTAATGTGATTTTCAATTACTACACAGTTTTGTGCAGACTTTCCTAAAATATGCTTTTTAATACACTTTTTTATTGGAGAACTCCATTGCCAAATTCAGAGAAGTGTAAAGTTGGAAAGATAACTTAGTTTTTGGCTCACATATTGATTCAAAAGTACGAAATCTGGTGTACTGCATTCAAATGTGAACAGAATAAATTCCCCTCCCCTTTAAAGTTACATTCAATGAAATACAAAGAGTGATGCATTTTGAGTTGTAATCTCCTGGGTAGCTATTATGTCATGTGCTTCACCAGTTAGAGGGGAACAGAAGGAAAAAGGCAGGTTGCTTACCTGTAACTGATGTTCTTCGAGTGGCCATCTGTGCATCACACATATGGGTGCTGCGCCTGTGCAGTGCTTAGGCCGGAAAGATTGAAAGCTAACGGTTTTGGCGGGAAAACTCTGCTCCCCTCCCCGCTCGGTAGTATATATAGAGCGGAGTGTCTGCCATTTTCTCCAGTCTTTGGAGACCGAACGTTCACCACCTCAAGGAGGAAGATGGCATAACAACCTATCAGGTACCGTCGCATCCCCTTCCGGTACCGATGTCTTAAACATATGAGGTACTGAAGCAGTATTATACGGTACCGATGACGAAACCACTCACCGACACCGAGTGGGGCTGGCGGGTGGGTTGTATGGATGCACAGATGGCCACTCGAAGAACATCAGTTACAGGTAAGCAACCTGCTTTTCTTCGTCGTGGCCTCTGTCCATCACACATATGGGTGAATAGCAAGCTTACCAGAAATGGTGGTGGGCGGTGTCGCT